GCATATGGCGCCACATTCTGCTCGAATTCTTTGGAATGAATGCACTTCAGACAATTTAGCGCAAGTTTTCCAAAAGCGCGTGTAATGCGGTGGATGTGTGAGCGTATAAAAAATCGCTTTGGGTATGTCCGGTAGTCAGGCGATGAGCGATTTTCCAGCAGTGAACGGTCGCTCAGGCAGTCAGCGATCGAAAATCGTAACGACTGGGTCGCTGGAGGTATGCCTTAGGCCATAGAACGCACTCCTATACAAAGTATCCACAAGGCAGTCAGGCAGCCGCACGTCAACCATAAACGCATTTTGTCTAACACATTTACAACACGCCATTTTTCAATATCTGCCGTATCGGACATACGGCTCACTGACATCAACTTTCTCGTGTCTTTTTGTCGGATCGCCGACGGGTCGTATGGTCCAAAAGGTGGTCTCCTAATTAGAGTTTCCTCTAGAAACATGTGCCGACACCTCACGTACTTCCATCATAGATTACTTACTTAGATACTTCAATGACCCGTCCTCATGTGAAGTGCGGACCCCAGTACAGAAGTTTCCATTTATCCCTGTCCCTCGTATCGGACATCCACGATTTTCTTGTTGTCGTCGGTGGGTGCGTCCACGAGTTCCAGAGGCGAAAATCGTATACAGCTGATTTCTCAGCTATCAGTCCATCCGTTCCACGGACACATAAGCCCATTTCGCTGGAGGTCTTCCCATGTTTTGTTTCGCGAGGAATCCACTTACCCAAGCTAACCTTTGATTCAACTGGCCCGGCTTCGTTAAGGCGGGACTTTACGACGTGATTAAAGGCACCGTCCACCCAGATTTTCGACTTCCACGTTTTTGTCGTTTCAGGGCCTTCTCATATCCCTGATCCCGAATATGAAGTCGAAAATGCGCGAAAACCTCGACAATCCCCGTTTCGGAGAACCCACAGCCCGGCTTTCCGGAACGTTGATTGGATGGGCGCGCACAAGTGGGCGGGCATGGATGGGGAAGGGCGGGCATGGATGGGGGTCCTCGTGCATCTTCGCTATTCCGAAGCGATTTTCTCGCTTTCGAAGCGGTATTTTGCGCCGCCACTTGGGCATTGGATTGATAGAGGGCCCCACTATTATATGCTGCCAAAAGCTCAACACCCTCAACTTAGGGTGGACGGTGCCTTTAAGACCGCTCGCTCCCGCAATGCACCTGCGTCTCTCTCGCGCGGGTGCTCTCTGAGCACTAGCTAGCTTTAGTTAGGTCACGGAGCCCCGCCTTGTCAGAGCCAAGCCAGTTGAATCAAATGTTAGTTACGAACATATTGCTAGTTTTGCTTGGTAGAGCCTTTGTCATGCCTACGGTAGACAAACAGTCGTACCCGGCGGTCGTGTGCCACACCTCTTGCTCGACCCTGAATATAACTATTGCAATTAACGCATCAGATAAACACTCTAAGCAAATTTTAGAACATATGCGAGCAAAGCAGCTTTTTTGCCGTACTCCTCAGTATGCCTATTATATGTCACTAACAGCAAATCATTGTGAATGTCGCTATCAGCACACCAAATAACCCATCTAAGTAAGGATCAGGAAAAAACTGGTGAAATTTGACTGCTCACCGTATATACCTACAGTAGCCAGGCGGAATGCACTTTCATATATCAGAAGATGCGCCTCGTCAAGCTGAGTCGAACGGTGTCCTTGATTCGAATTCGTTTATTGTGATGCGAGATTCCATGATGCAACGCGGATTCCGGAACACTGCAGCGCGCTCCGGCCATTGTTGCGGCGCACTGCTGCGCATTCCGGCGAAGTGCGCTGCAGTGTGCGACTTTTCTTGACGAATTATGAGCGGTACTGACATTCTTCTCAAATCATACTGCGAATCCGACAAGGTGTTGTTGTGTCGGCTCATCTTCAAAAGACTGCGCTCAAGCGCTCTATGGGTGGTCCGTAGAGCTTTCGACGTGGCTACAGTGTCGGGCCAAGTCTCAGCAGCGTAACAGAGTGCTGGGAGAACGGTTGAGTCGAACAGGTGGGCACAAAGCTCCGGGCCCGTCAGTTGGTCAGTGACTTCCTCCAGAGGTCTGAAGGCGGCCCAGGCTGCTCTTCTTCTCCCCTTAAGTGCTTCCCTCAAGTCGTTCTCCATGTTCATCCAACGTCCTAGATACACGTAAGACGTCTGTAATAGGGGTGCCTTTCAATCCCATTTCTGCATCTTCCAAAGGCCGTTCTTCAGTAACTGAGTCTTCTTTCGATTTATTCGCAGTCCTATCTTCTTACTTCGTTTAGTTCTTTCAGTATCGTCTCTGCTTCAGTAACACTGCTCGAAAAGAGAACGATGTCGTCCGCAAAACGAAGGTTCGACATCTCCCATCAACTCGTATACGTCTCTCGTCCCAGTCTAGTGACTTCACCACCCACTGCAAGGCCGCGGTGACCACTTCGGCGAAATTGTGTCGCCCTGTCGGACCCTCTTCCCAATTGGAATGGTGGGGCGATGGAACAGCTGCATCGTCATTGCAGTCCTTGTAGCAGTCGGCTAACGTGCTCATTTGAGCTGGGTCTACTCCTTGATCGACTGGCGCTCACAGGATGTCGTTGGTTTCGATGCTGTTAAAAGTCTTCTCGTAGTCGACGAAGGATTCGGCAGTCGGTACTCCGGCAGTCTTCTATGATCCTCGAAACCGTCTGGATGTGGTCCACGCAGCTGACCTCTGCAAAATCGAGTTTGTTCTTGGGGTTGCGCTTCATCTAGTGTCCTAGATATGCGGAATAATCTTTGTGAAGAGCTGCTTCCTGTATCTTGGCTTTACTATACTTCCTGAGGTCCTACAAAGCTGTTATGCGACTGCGTTGGCTGTCAGTCGTTCGAGATGGGTTGCACTCGGATCCTGCCTCGAAATCTTCTTCTTTCGAGCAATTCCTTGGTGGTTTTCGAAATGCGTCCCCAGTTGGTGAGAATGTGGCCGATCTCCGCATAACTTGTTCCGTTGGACGATTCAAATGTCCACCGGCATGTTTTTTCTTCACATGGAAGAGTCGTGCGGCGGAGAGAAGCCCAACGAGACGGTTTACGTTTTCGTATCGGAGCCCATATTCAAAGTCCTCGATTTTCTGGTGGCATCCCCATTTTCGCGTTGAAGTCGCCCACAACAAACTTGTGAAAAGACTTCTCGTTGAGGACGACATCCCCCACGTCTTAGTAAAACGCATCTAGTTTTGATTTATCAACTCCTGATGTTGGAGAGTAGCAGTTGACGATGCTTAGAATCTTCTGACGTGGAGGTCGTAGTTGTAGGATGGGTAGTTGGGTGACAGGATCTCATGCGAATCGACAAGATGGACGATAGATGGGTGGACGACAAAGCCAACGCCTCCAACGTTTTGTGACGGAACCTTTTCACCACGAATGATGAGGGTTCCATCACTTATCTGTCGCACGTCCGTTTTCGGGGATTCTTTCTACAGAGTGATGACGTGTTGATGTGCTCTGCAGCGTCGAGAAGAGCGTGGAGGTTGGCGTTTGTGGGGAATGTCCTGGCGTTGCAGTTGCAGAGGATGAGGCAGTCTCCATGGCGTCTTGTCCGGGCAGATGTATCGTTTTGTCCAATCCAAAAGGCGCCCTGAGGAACCTAACATCATTCTTGCTACCGCCCGGCGCCGTAAACGGGATCCGATGTGCAGGGTTACTTTCTAATCTTCCTAACTGGCGGATTAATGAATTTTTCCCCCACAAGCGCACTTACTAGGCCAACTCTTGATTTCCACGGTGTGATCGCTACCCGGGTTCGGAGCGGGGAGAACCTCCTAGCGAGCAGAGAACCAAACGGCGGTGGATCTGACCTGGCCGGCTCTTAGCTAGGCATCCGGCCGAAACCGGAATGAACTCCTTCACAGCTTGGGAGGCCCTGCCAGAGTATACACTTGGCTTGGCCAGAGTATACACGCAGTTCAACACGCAGTGTCCTCCCCCCCCCCCCACGTCAAGATGAGACGGTCGAGCATTGTGGAGGCATCGTAGATTTACAGTGCCTATAAGTACAGTCGAGTAGATAAATGCGGTAAAATTTGCGCGTCAGCCTCTAGTCCTATAACGTCGGCATTCTGCGCGCGCAAGTGGAAATGAAATGGCAGTACACGTACGACCCATCGGTGAGTCGTATTGTCTTGAATGTGTTGTGAGCATAGGTTTGCAACGTTTCAGCAAATTCAGCGAGAGTACAGCACTATTCTAAACAGTCGGGGATGGAAGGGCCCGAAACAGACTGCTTCTGCTGTGACATGCTATGCCACGGACGCAAAAGGCACTCGCTGTGGAACGACAAGCGTCGTCAGAGTACACTTGAACAACTTAAAAGGATCAAAGGTGTAGGTACCTTCTGTCTCATTTTGAGCCCGTTTCGGGCGGCTATGATCGGCGGTACCTCAACGCGTCCCCGAACGTGTCATCTAATTTCCCAATGACTCAGATGCGAGCTCCATTCATTAATGGCAAGAGAACGCGAACGCGACGCGATCAGCGCCGCGCGTGAACGAACCATTCGAGTCAGTCTCACTCCAAACGAGACAGATTGTACTACACCTGACTTAACATGACGGCGGTAAACGCTTACATAATGTTGCAAAGCAGTCATCAAATCAATGTGAGGATTCTCGCAAATGCGCGAGACAACGACTGAGAACAAAAGTGGAAAGTTTATCTCAGAAGATACATCATGCCTGCTTTCATCCACAATGTGACAAACTGACGCTCTAAGCGGCAATTTCTGCCTCCATTTTTCCCTTCAGAAGTAAGACAACATGCATTTATCTACAATAATTTTCAACAATTTTCACAACATTTACAATATGTACAGTATTATCGCTGCAAGCACGAGGTCGATAGAACCAAGGCTAAATAGAAAACCCTTTCTGTAATGATGAAAAACTATGACAATCTAAGGCAATACTTGATTCATACTTTGAGATTATAAGATTCGAATACGCTTTGCACGGATGTGATTAACAAGTTGATAATTGTCCGCCACCTGATCTTGGACGATTCCTTTATGCCTCAAACGTGTGCGAAGCGCACTGAAATCTCCTAGTCTCAATACGAATGATAACTCGGAGCAAGATCATCCATTTTTCAAGCGTTTATACGCTTGTTCAATGTAGCCACCGTAGCGATTCCATATGAGATCATCTCCGATCATCGCGTAAAATCTGTAACAACTCGTATTGCAGAGGGCCACACTAACAAACAGATGCTCACACTCCAAACAAAGTTCCGCCTAAGTGAGCTGCATGATCGAACATCCGAAACCTTAATCAGTACATAGCAGACGGAAACTCTAAATGAAAGCAAGAAATTATATCAGAACAAACCTGAACAGAAGTCCAGCGAGATCAAACAGAATTATTCCAATAATTGCTGATTGTGCCGAAAAATCAAACCCAGGAACAAACACAATTCTGAGCCTTGCTTCAGGAATTTTCATACAAGTGTAGCCGAGTACTCCAAGTATAGCTCCGCTCTGTAAAATGAAAATAATTTTCTTACGACAAACTTGCTGTGGTCTGCACAACAACAATTTCGAAAAAGTTGAATGCTCAAGTTCGAGTTTTAGCTATCCAGTCAATATGTTAGTGATTAAGACCGGCCCGAGTATCATAGACCGCGGTTGGTCAAGCTACTTATTCGTAAAGGTCGTCTTGTCTTCCCAAGGTCAGGATTCAATATGTGCAATACTTGCCTAGTACATCAGCCAACTTTTGTCTCCCCCCCCCCCCCCACAGAATCTGAATAAGTTGCTAAGATATTATGCATGATCATTCAGCACAATTTCACCAGAATTACTCTAAACTGGAGAGACAGTGTACAAGGATAAGGCTATGGATCATAAAAGGTGAGATTATGATACTGCTCAGAAAAAATAAAACCTCAGATCAAGGGCAAGTGAGATAAAAGCATAATGACAAGAATAAAATGGATGGGGCTAAGGTGATAAGGAGAATATTTTTCAGAAGAGTAACTTACAGCTCCAACAGCACGTATCGGGGACCGTGCGAGTGCTTTGTGAGCAAGACCAAATAAAGACGACACCACACCTGCTGTGATATAAAAGGCCCAGAACTGTAACAAGTTAATGTGCAATACTAACCCAAAAATCTCGAAACAAATTGACAAACCTGATCTGGTCCAAGAAATTTGTCAACGACAACATTAGTGAAAGACCATGCCACATACATATTCAGTGCGAGGTGAATAAAACTGTAATGGGAGAAGACGCTCAAGGCCATAGGTAGACAAAGACTTCCTAAAATAATCAAAATGCTGCTTTGCGGTACATATTAAAAGTCAAGCCACTTACTTGAAGCAAAACTGTTGCTAAAATACCGCCACATCATTGGATGCAAATTTGTCAACCTCCATAGAACGAATACGATAAGATTGGCTAAAATATGTGAATTTACAATAGGAAGAACACAAATACATAAGCGTGTTGGACTAATGCTAGTTCGAAGAGGTAGGTTAACATTCGCTGGCTTATAGATTTGATGATAAAAAGGCGAAAATCTCAAAGTCTTGATTTTTCTCTTCTTAAACCTCAGTCGGAAACCAACAATGAAAAACGTCTCTGTGAAAGAGAGAATTATTACATGAACGAAACTTCTCCATTTACTTTGGCGTACAACGATATATGCAGTTATGGTTGATTTTACACCAAAACAGTAAAATGAAATTCACCGCCAACCAGGTAAAGTGCGCATTTGTCGCCGTCCGTGAGGTCTCTCCATTCATTAGCATTTTGAGTGAAACTAAAAAGGAATTTGAGGTGATACACATACGCATACAGTATACTGATCTTTATCAACAAAGGCGAAGAGCTGTACATTTTACCACAGTTTACAAGAGGTGTCATCAAAATAGGTTAGGGAATCATATTCCTAGACTTTGAAGGACTTTATGGATTTAGTGAGAAAAAAAAACAGAAACTCTGTAAGTTGCGCACTCAAAGATAAAAGAAACTCACGTAGATCTCGCTTTTTCGAAAAAGCTCTTTACTCTATGTTTTTGTCGTTCGTAGTCGCTTACCACCGCAACGGCGAATGTACCTGCGCCAACCTAGACTTTATCTTGAGTGCTAACATGTGAAATAAGTGAGCCATACTTACCGCAAACGTAAATCCCAAAGCTCTCAGTAAATGACTGACTGGACGGACAGGAATAGTATCAGCGGCATATGGCGGTTGAAGTACTGGAAAGTGGATTTCTACACTCTAAGCATATATTAATTCCTGACGAATCTTAGAATGGATGTAGCAGCTAGCTTGAGCGAGAGAATTCAATGCTCGAACGTTTTTCGAGCGACTTCAGTGATTACAACTTATTATATCGCCAATTCAATGAGATATACTAAAAATGTCGTCTACATCCACACAAACTAACAAAAACATGCAGAAAGCAAAAATGTACAAGCAATTTTAGAAAAAGCCATATCTCATGAAAGCGAAGTCACTCACCTTCTATTTTTGGTGGCTGGATAGGGTTTTCTCGATGTAATCTGCTCCTCAAAGACTCTCTAGTGAATCGACCGTAGGAAACAGTTTTAGTTCGTAATCCTCGAAGCGCTCCGAGGAGCAAATGCTGGGTATATAGCATGGTCTGGAAATCGAATTATGTATGTCGTAGAACATAGACGTGAAGATAGTATACGATCGTGAAAAATCTCAAATCTGAGACGTGGATAAAGCAAAAATTTTTCTCTGCATATCTTTACGAAAATTACTATCCATTTCACAAACCCTTTTTCAAGCAACAATGAAGATTCAGACTCTTAGTGAGAGATCCCGAATAAGGGAAAACCCATAGCCTGGGCGTACAAGAAGAGAGAAAACCTATTCAGTTCGTTACAAGCTTTAACTGGCTACTCTGAGCGCAGCTACTGGCACAGCGATTTCGACCTAGGTGTTTTTTGCACTTCCGTCAACATCGTGCTTGTTCTTCGATGTCTCAAAGGTCATGTCTGGCGCTAGGCAACTCGGACTAAACTACACATAGACGTTTATCAATATAGAAAAGAGTAAATGGATTAACTTAGGAAAGAGCAAATGACCGTTTGCGTGAGTTACTTACGGGTCATCAAAATTTTCAAGCGAAGGTGCTAACCGATACGGTCTTGCCGCGGTCATGCAGAAAGCAACAGAAAAATCCCTGTTAAGTCGAATCAATTGCATTCGTTGCGTATAGCATTGCCATTTGAAGACCGCATGTTTCCAAGATTGTTAATAGTTTTCTAGAGGACGCAGTGGTGGTGATTAGTTCGCTTCACGATAATTTGTATTTCGCATGTTATTGCTCAAGTGCGAGAAGTCCACAGCATTTCTGAGCCCATTGAAATGACAAACTTTTCCATTTTCAACTACCCAAGACACGCTTAGTTTTAGTCACTTAGAGAAAAATATCATAGAACTTCGAGCCGATATGGATTTAGCACTTCCAAAATCACCACCACCCAAGAGCGAATGCTCTATGAAGCGCCATAGAGCAAGGACAAACTACTACACTAACAATTAAAGCTAAAATAAGCTGACATTGTGCATTTTGAAAGCCACAATTTAAACAGTCAATGTACCTACCTAGTATGTAGTTTCAAGTTCCTTGATTCCAGTAATCGGATACCGTGGCAATCTCTCCGTAACACACAAAACTTCCAACTGTATCCCACTGCCAAATCTGGCGGTTCCTCGGAGTCGTACGATGGACAATCGCAATGCTGATGTTGATGTCGGTAAACGTCGCGCTATTTGCACTATGTGCTAAAAAACATCTGATGCGAGGCGGTCGGGAGCGCGCTTTGACATCGGAGCAGCTTTACTGATCACATGTTTAGCACACAGCGAAACAAACACAGGCACGGTGTCCCAGTTGAGGGGTAGATATATCTTTTGCATTTCTCGTCGCATTTCACAACGTTATTTCCCAGCGAACCAAACTGAGGAAATATGTATTACTGCCTGACACCAGTAGCGTACCGAGAAGGAGAATGTCCCCCCCCCCCCCCTCCCGGAGACTGAGCGGAAATTTTTGCGTCACTTACATCGTAAAAGTTGCAAATGACTTGTGCATATTTGTAAATAATGAAAATAATTTTTTTGGAAAATTCAAATTGCCCTGTATCATTTTCGGGGCATGGTGCTTTTTCAAAAGTTCAAGGTTATGGGTCCGCAATAATTTTGGGAGGCATCTCAAATTTTTGAAGTGCGGGGCTAACGCACGGATAAATCCCCGAGAACTGAAAAGTTCAACTTGCAAGTCGCGAATTAGCGCGCGTGGTGTGCAATACGCATATTGAGTTAAACTTGACGATAAATCTTTAGAAGTTCTTCTCTGCTGAATTCATGGAACAAATTTCATTCTCTGTGAAGCAAAATAAGAAAAATATGAGAAGAGCGGATTTGCAATATCACTTAGTGCTTAGTAGAAATTTGATTAGTTCGTTTTCTTGCGTTGTGGAAAGCGCAGGGACTTAAAATGGCAAAATACCCTACATGGCCATTTTTGCGTGCGAGCCACAATTAGGTGTCAATACAGACTCAGCATTTCTTTACGGGCAAAAGTTGTGAGTGAGTGTGAGTCAGTCTTCTAATTCATTACTGTAGCTGACTCATGGAGTTACAGGGCGTGTCAAGATGCGACGTTTGAGAAGCTGAGAAGAGGAGACAAGAACCGACAGTGACCACAGCTGGCGACTCTCGACTCCGGCCACGTCGACCGTCTGCCAGCCATCCCTGCAGCCTCGCTTCCCCTCGCATATAGATCTCATTGCTCACAGTATTCATATACTGCCTTCTGCTTAATTTCCAATAAACTGTTATTATCCTTCAACTGTACGACCTCGGACATTTACGTATCCGTCATCGTCACTGCTATAACCAACACTGCAGTCGCCCAATTTGCGGACACTCTTCTTGGTCTCGATGACTTCCAGGGCATACCGATGGTGCGATACATTTCTGACGCCGCCTCGGCCGACAACACCTTCCCGAGGCGGCTGATCTGAATGTCATTCTGAAATCCCTTGATGACACCTACGGCGAGCGCATGACCTCTACCGAACGCGGCATATGCCGCGAATTCAAAAGGAGCAGGGAGGCACTGGAGAGATTGCTGAGAGACCCGGAGCGCGCCCTCCTCATGTCTGAAGAAGAAAAGGAGGAATGCTTCATCTCCGATCAATACGTGTCCCGGCATTTGAAGAAAATGGTCGATCTCATGTTCCGGTATCACGCGCCCTCGGTCATCTTCGCGACGACGTCGTCTCTTATTAACATCATCGGACGCAAGGGCATTTTCAAGAAGCATATGGCACGCTTCACAGTGCTAATCGGAGACGAAGCATCGCAGATCCCTGAGCCGGTGGTGGTGACGTTCGCTATGCTACTTCCTTGGGTACGTCAGGTTTACATCGGCGACGTACACCAGTTGGAACCGCACGTCTCAGGCCCTGCAAACTCTAGCGTCGCGATCTACGGCGCTCGTAGCACCATGAAGATCCTCACGGATGCTCGAGCCGTCCTTGTCGCTCCTCTCCGCACGACCTTCAGATCCCACCCCGCGCTGATCGAGCTCCCGAATCGGGTAGCGTATGAAGGATCGTTGGTGTCGGGAGTGAGAGCTGAAGATCGAGGTATGCTCCTTTCAGTGATGCGCTTCCCATCGCCAGAAGTACCGTTCATGTTCGTTGATGTCCCTGCCTGCTCAACCAGAGCGCAGAACCGGTCTCACTTCAATGAAGTTGAGGCGCAGGTGTGCTGGAACCTGGTCAACCACCTGATGGAGAAGGGAATCCAACCGGCCGATATCACGGTCATCGCCTTTTATCGGGAACAATACCGTCAGATGCACGCGCATGCCCGCTCTCTCGACATCGAAATGGCTACGGTTGACTCGGTGCAGGGAAGGGAGAAGGAGGTGGTGGTCGTCCTGACAACTCGAACGGATGCTGAGCCCAACTCCGCGGAATTCCTCGACAACTATCGCCGCATGAATGTGGCTCTTTCTCGTTGCAGGCATAGCAAGTTCATCCTTGGGCGCTCGGACTCTCTGGCTCGCATTCCCTTCTGGAGCCGTGTACTGGAATGGTCGCGCTCCCTCGATGCTGTGGTGCCTCACGTCGATCTTGACCGGTATTTTCAAGACCTCTAAGTCCTAAGTGAGTTTTGCCTATATTTGTATAAGTCCGGGTCGGACTTAAATTAAGGCAGGGAGGTGTGAGCGGGTGTGAGTCAGTCTTCTAATTCATTACTGTAGCTGACTCATGGAGTTACGGGGCGTGTCAAGATGCGACGTTTGAGAAGCTGAGAAGAGGAGACAAGAACCAACAGTGACCACAGCTGGCGACTCTCGACTCCGGCCACGTCGACCGTCTGCCAGCCATCCCTGCAGCCTCGCTTCCCCTCGTATATAGATCTCATTGCTCACAGTGTTCATATACTGCCTTCTGCTTAATTTCCAATAAACTGTTATTATCCTTCAACTGTACGACCTCGGACATTTACTAAGTTGCCGTCACCGTAGATGCAGTATAAACCATCGACTCGACTATATTGTACATATGCTTCACTTGGAAATATATTGAAACTGCATGCAATCAATATAACACAAACATTATCATTCACATAACCATGATTATGTTTGAGAACGTATAAGAGACCAGTTATTTTACAGAAAATGAGTATCGATGTACAAACATGGATAAAATGCAAATGACCCGCATCAACACAATATATCAGCTACTGTAGTCATCACACTTTCTTGTTGTTAAAAAATGTTTTTGTTAACGTCACTGCTTCTGTGAACGAAGAAGGACATTTAAGTCGTTTTGAAATCCATCCAGGCAGTTTCGAGATAACGTCGTTCCGTGTAAACCTTAATTTTACCGTTTTACCATTACTCGATCACTAGCACTGTTAAGGAAAAGGATACCTTAGGTCAAGTAGGTAAACCACCGCATAGTCATTTCTGTGTCGTATGGCTCGTCCTATAGCTTGATTGATTGTATGCATGCATAAAGACTGATAAAGTTGGTTTCCTCCTCCAGAAAGTTGGGAATCTAGATACTGAAACAAAAGGAAATATCTAGGAACCTTGGTAACGCCATTACTCAAGCTGTAGTTCATATGATCCATTCAAGGCCTAGAAATTCAGTTCCCTCTCGCACACTAACGCATTCTAGTCTGATCAGAAAGAGTACGGTATCGGGCGAAAGTTCAAAATTGCATTTCTAAGTCTCAAATGAATCATATAAGCTGTCTATCAACTTTTTCAATCTTCCCAAAACAGTCTACACATAAGAAACCCGTACATTTCCTCTCATTGTTTGAGAACTAGCAAAACTAACCGTCATTTTTTCTCTAAGCTCTATGCTGTTTTTATTTGGATACGGTAACCCCACCATGAAGACAGCTCGTCCAAGTTCATCACTAAAGTTGATGCCTGAATTGACAAAATGAAAAACTTTGAAGCAAACGCTGAAATCACCATCACACCTTCGCTAAGCTTCCCACCAGCCACAGCAAACAGTAGAGCACCTGCGCCAACTTTGGCGGCTAAGGCAAAACGATCCCAAACATTGCCTGAGGCACCTCGAGGTTCCACAAACAGTGGTTTCTTCAACTAAAATTAGTGCCTGATTTTTCTACTTAAAGAAAATTTCTGACCGAGTAGACATATGAATTTTATTTGTTTGATAGCTGCAAGCTTAGTGCAGTGAACAAAAAAAAAATACAATACTTTCAAAAAAAAATTACCGAACGCTGCGTAATTCTATAATTTAATAAAATGACTTTGGACTTGAAATGACCATTTTTTTTCATTTTTCATTCATCGGAAGGAGGCCTGTGTGGTGAGGGAGAATAGAAACGATAGCATGAAGCTCTCAAAAAAAACTATTCCATCCAAATTAGATATTTTGATTCTAACTTTTAGACTTTGAAAAATATATCTTGTACAAAAACCCAACAGTACACTTTTTCTTACTTTTTGCATACCTCGCTATTCCGTTTCGATTTCAAAAAATCTCACTAACTTGACACTTTCTGACAATCCCATTTTTCTCTATGACTGACAGAAATAGCGACAGGTAGTCGTAACTGGTAAAGAAGGCGACGCATCCATTCGGCACTTCTCGAGCTAAGATTAGGAGAGTTTCCGCTACCGTCTTCATCTAAAGTATAGAAGGTGAAGAAGATTTCCCCACGAGGAAGACGGGAGGCAACTTACACATTCCATGTTGCTCCTTGATTCGAATGTCAGCGTGAAGTTTTGGTTATTAACAGTTTTTGCTGAAATTATATTTGGGAACATTGCTATAATCATACTCAAATAAATTGTTAGTTTTTAAACTTTTTTCTATTGCAAATGAGACCCGTCCCACCTATGGAAAGGGCTAGAAGCTGATGGTTGTCGATGACATGGGAGCAGGTAAAGCGGCGAATGCTTTTTTCTGCACCTCCTCGAGACAAACAGTCAACCTAAAATGTATTAACCTTCGGGAAAAAATTATAACTAATTTTAAGTAAAATATATATTCTTATGAAGAGTACACCAACCAATAAGCCAGCAGGTTCCATAGTTCCACCAATCAGAATGGTGGCTCGCGCTTCTCTGACCACTTCCATCAAACGGGAAGCAGGGTTCAAAAGGATAAAGCGCAATCTGAAGAGACAACATTCCCAACTAAAACTGATAACAATTGAGATTTTTACTTCGCAGCAGTTCCTTTTCGCTCGACTATGACTCTTCCATCTTCACAGCGATTATTCAATGCTTCCAAGAACGCTTTGATGGTAAATAATGGAGAAGGGTATGTTCGGTCCTTATCTTCAGTAGTGGGTACGGGCGCAGGTGTTGCTGCAAGTGCATAACAAAATAAAGGCGATAACGATGTCTGGTTTAACAAAGAGAAGATTCAAATTTAGCTACCCTTTGCTAAATAATTGTTCCAGTAGAGGAAAGGGAGAATGAGATATAAAGAAAAAAAGGTTCGAACGCTGGCTATTTCTAACCACAAATGAGACTGGGTATTATGCGGAACCTGTGTAGATTTTCAATGGTATTTCCCTTTCTTTCAAAAAAAAAAATTAAGTTGAGAAGGAGAGAGGATAGTGAGGAGAGAGATAGATGAAAAAATGTTATCTATGATTTTCAAAGAATTCACAAGTATATCAGCAAAATGGTCAAAATGACTATTCTAGAGGAATTTGCTGTCAGGGATAAAAAATAATAGTTTGGAAATCTCTGTGAGGTCGCAAAAAATGAGATATAGTCTAGTAAAGCAAGCAGCTTTTTTCCTGGTGTTTCAAATGTTTGAACATTCCAGACAGAGTATGGTATTCGATGATCCATAGAGCTGAGACTTTTTGAGAATCACTTTTTCTCGGAAGTGATCACACTGGTTTTTTTCCTCACCTCTTCTTTTTCTAAAATTTTGGAAACAATTTTTGAATAAATGATTGGAGCTACCCTACATTCACTTATGTTCAATTTGTTCTGAGACACTCTTTCACCTACCTGGCTTTTTATTCGCCATTAATTTTGCGATTCCACTTTTTGCCGCAGGCTCTTTTGCGATGTTGACCTTCATTTTCATTGAACGAATGTAAAATCCATGAAATTTCCTGCACATATCCGTAGCGTCCATATAGTGAATAAGTTTGAACAGATTCACATCTGTTAATCCCAGCTAAAGTCAAAAGAAAATTTTTGTCGAAATTGTAATGTCTGATGCTCATACATACTGCTATCAGAAATCCTTGGATAGTGAGAACATCCTCCGTTTTGCTATCATTTTTTCTCAAGAATTGATCTATAGCAGCTACCACAGACAAAATTTGCTTCACGTACATTAAGTTCTTCGCTTTCAATCGAGATCTGAAGGGGGATTGTAAGGATTTAGAATGGCTTGAAAATTCTAGAAACTACCTGTAGGTATCAATGTATTCCCGAATCAAAGAAAGGGCTAGTGTAGTAGAGGTAGATGTTAGTTCAGCAGCGTATAGTGCACCTGAAATAACGTGAAGCTTCATGACATTTCAATGAGCCATCTACGATCATAAAATTTTATTTAAAAAAATCTAAACAAGCTGGAAATTCATGGTAGCTACAAACAGAGACGGTTAGACGTCGCTTTCCAATCCTAGGTCATTCCCCATTCATTTATTACGTAGTTTTTACGTAACAACTTTTTGTTAATTAGAAATTGCTCAAATCCAGTGGCTCCACATGCAGAGTGATTGAAAAATATAGTGAAAGGATGAATTTACAGTCTACAAGACTGTTGAACTAGACGGGAGCAAATTTGTCAAGGTAAAATAAGTGTAGGGAAGGGTAAGGGAGGGGTAATAGATTGCTCTTTGGAGGTAGTCTAATTTTGAAAAGGGGTGAGTTACTTCTTCTTCCTGGCAAATGGCCTCATAATTTTGATTGATTAGATAAAAATTCAGAGAAATCTTGGGGCAAGCAGGTTGGAAAATTGAAAATAGCAAACTCACAGAAATAAGTAAAAAAAATTCCCCCCCCCCTCCCTTAACTATCCCAAAAATAATGCAGGACTCGCTGCAAAGCTGCATAAATTTCCTTCAAAATTCAAATCTTAATCATGCTTTCAAAATAAACTTTGGCATCTTTCCAGCGTGCTCACATCTTTGTTTGTATGAATAGCACACTCACAAAGCACCCGCCTTTCTTCGCTTTCATCAAGCACATGCTGCCCATGGCACAAAAGAATCGGACCGCGCACAAAGAGCACGGACCATCCAGAATCGTATATAACTTACCAAACCGACAAACCGTCACCCACTTCTCAGCTAAGTACCCAGCTAAGAACTCCTAGAAGACGACAGCTGCTCCTATTCTAGCCGATATTACTCTCACACCTATTCGATCACGACTTCACAGCACTTCCGTCATCTCAACTACCAATGCAAACCCCGGATCCGATTGTTCCCGTGGACGAACGTACGACTTCTCCGGATGTCGATGCTCTTGCCCAGGTATACGGTGGCCTTACCCTGTGGAAGCCCACACCCGAACACATTCACTACTTCAACGGAGACTTCATCCATTTTTCCGGAAAAGATAATCAGGATTTTTATGAATGGCACAGCCAGCTTGAAAATTTTATGCGTGATTTCATTGCTCCTCTTCCAGAACAGCGTAAAGTTAATGTGCTCTACAGTTATTTAGAAGGTGAAGCTCGCGTTATCGTAGATGAAATGGCAGCTGAGAATAAAAATAATTATAAATTTGTTGTTTCATATCTTCGTGCTTATTTCAAACTTCCGCATTCTCAGACTCCAAAACAAACTTTATCAGCTTGTAGACAAGAAGCAAATGAGGATGTGCAGACTTTTGCAAAGCGCATGAGAAAACTTGTCCAAATAGTGATGAGTGGGGAGCCCAAATACATGGTACATGATAGGCTTCTGGAAGAATTCGTGAATCGTTTGCAACCAAGGTTAAAATTTCATGTAAAGTTGTTTGGGCCCAAAACTTTTGAGGAAGCCTTGGTGAAGGCAGTTACTTTTGAGTCACTTTTTAATGAATTGTCAAACCCAATAATTTATCACCCAAGTCCACGCATATTCGTGCCCAGAGCTGATGTGGATAGTAGGCCAAAAATAGACAACGATTCAAGAAGGAGGACTCTACCCATCAGCAATAACATGCATAGAGAAATAAAAGCAAAAAGACCAAATAGAAATTGGCTGCGTCGTTCGAATTCTGGGGTGGTGTGCTATGCATGCGGTAAAATAGGACATTTTGCAAACGTTTGTCGTTCCAATAATCCTAGCCCAACTTGTGATTTTCGAAGTCTATGTCAATTCTAACATAAGTAGAATCTTCCCATTCGAGATGTTGGAAACAGTAGTTTGTTCCCAGCCTTTCTCCTCTTTCCATTCTAATCGCATTATCATTGAGGAATGCACGACCATCGAATAAGAAACATAATTCCATGATCATATTTCCATTCAGTTGTAACCATATTACTCATACTGTACTTGTTGCATATGTATGCTAGTTGATGTATCACATTTACCGTTGTTTTACTTGTTCTATAACTATCAATGAAACAGAATAAACACATTCAATTGTTGGTTCACCCAAGCTTAAAGAAGTTTGTGCAAAGTTCATCTACCCATAAAAGATAGCCATTTAGCATATATGCCAAGAAAAACAGATGAAAATTTTCAAGCCACTCGATCTTGAGCTCAAGTTAGAATCAACAAATTGAATAAACTGAAATGCAAAATAAGTAAATCGTGCTCATTGATCGTTGTTTTTTCGACAAATTCTTGAGAAATGAAAGCGTCTGACATAGAAAGAAATTTTGTTCAAAATCTGATTCAGTCAGGTCCGTTTTTATCCGATTGTGAGTCAATGAAAATAGTGTATTTAATTTAATATGCGTATTATGCTCAGAAAGTACAAACGACTATTAGAACTACGCTTACTCGGAAAATTCACCCACCCACGGTTTCCAACACGTTATGAGCTTCGTCTAGAACTAAAACATTTCCCTTCAGATCGATTCCCCAAGCGGCTCGAGTTGAAGCATGAAGAATCACCTGAATTAGCAAATAACAGTTTTTTTTTGATTGACTAAAATTTCTGTTCAGCAGATATCGCTGACCCATGCGAGTTCATGTATATATTTAGAGAGCCTTGTTTTGCAGGGTTTTCGAGCGAACTTTCAATTCCTTCAAATATTCTTACCTGATACGGCAACAAGACCAGCTGGCAAAGTGGTAGTGAAAGCCTTGTGGCAAAGTACGGACAAGCAACCAGTTGTTTTCCTCGATCTAATACCTGAAGGGGCCGAGAAATCCATACTTTTATATTGATGTATATACGTATCGAATCAAGCATAGAATATTCGATGCGTATCACAAAAATTCGTAGGCGAGAACTGGTCCTCGATGGACGAGGATGCACTAGTCACAGAAAAACAAGCTGATATGAAATTTATGTGAGTACAATTTCATAATGCAACGTTGAGCCCCACCTCATTCGGTCTAATAGTTGCCCTTGCTAGAATCTCATTTGACAGTTCTTCTATGGCATCGGATTTGTAATATGGACATTTGCACGATGACTTCCTATTGTTTGCACAATTCTGAAAAGAATTCTGAGGCTGCGGAATTTTTACAGGTCTTGAGATACCTCTTTTCCAACTATTTTGACTTTCTTCCCTTCGCCAATGTTTCCTTTTCGCAATTCCATGCACTTCTCATTGACGAGATGGCTGAATTTGAGGCGGCGAACGTTCTCATTGGCACAAAGAGTTTGTCGTGACGCAGCGGTAACGACTCGCGGGGCAAATCTAAAGACAAAGAGTAATGTCCAAGCCTGTCTGGAGCAGTGGCCTCAAGATGTGGCCCAACTGCCTAGAAGATTTATTGAGGTTCAATACATTGGCGTCATACGGTGGGGCTACGGTAGTTGTAAAACGAGAGATCAACCTCGCGAATGTCTCTTGGAGTTGCTTCATGTGCTAATAAACAATAATTGAACAAAAAAGACTGTTTAAGTGAACTACAACAGTTGCAGCTTGTAGTTTGCAAAACTCATTGCTTATTAGAAAAAACTGATGATCATTTTTGAGAACTATCACACCTATGATCAGCATGAAAACACGCATTTTCAAGCAGCCATGAATTAAAAGGAAATGAATTGAAACGATGAATAACTCTCAATTTTCTCAATGAAAATGCAAGTGAATGGAATGATAGAATCTTTCCAAGATACGAATCAGATCGTGAAAAAACGTTTGCGGGCATAGCTGCCGCTACCTCCAAAATTTAGAGTTAAAACGCAAAAAGAAATTTGGAAAGCTTCAAAAATTCCGAAGGGCGTAGCAACTCTCTCCTCGTTATTCCAAAAATTTTTGTCCTATCCCCCGCAAAAATAAAAAATTTTTTCTCGAAGCCCTTGCTCCTTACCTAACATTACATTCCGAATAGCCAACTTGCACCCTTTTTTTGCACTACATTCTTGTAACAAACCTTGTCTTCTTCAACTCATCAAGAAGTTGTTCTAATTGAGAATGAGTCCTAGAAGCATAGAACACCTTGACAACTTTCATCGGTTGCTCAACACCTGCATCCAGCTCTTCGTCTGAAGCGTAATCCTCTGGTGGAGCGCATGCCTACAAAATTGTGAGAATTTGTATATCGATATCACAATATCTACTCTTTGGAATTTTTTACTTTCGTTCTATTGGAGTTTATTTCGGATATTTATCTTATCACCTGACAGACTCTATGTGACTGAATACATCTATAAAAGGAAAAAGAATCTGCAGTTCCATGATAATCGATTCCAGAAACTTCAAAATCGATAGATTATTAATTTTTAAGAATAATGCAAAAGCTTACAGCAACATCCCCAGCATCTTGCTCGTCTCCTTCCAAGGACCCTACATCCAGATGACGACGTTTCCGATCTCGAGTGATCAAACCTGCCTTTGCATCAGCCAGCTTCTCTTTTACTTTATCCAATGCTTTCAACTTGTCATAAGCCTCATCTTTGATTTTCCTGATCTCCAACCTTTTTTTGTGAGCAGCTATCCAGTCTGCAATATTGAGCGAATATCATATTCAAAATGGTCAAATTTCGTGTTACATAGCTGTTTGTAACTCAAATTTTTGTAGAGGCGAGCAATGAATTCAATTGTCATCTTATATTCTCGAAAATTTGAGGCCAAACGAACTCCACAGTGAGCATTGTACCGTTTTGGTAGTTTACTAAAAAGAATCTAGCTGGAAGCTACTATAAAATTTCTTGATAAAAGTAGACCTTCACAAATTAATAGAGCATCTGTTAATTCAGATTTCCCTTCAGACAAAAAAACCATTTTCACTGTTATGTCCAGCGATAAAACGATAAAATAACAAAGTTTTTGAAAAAGCTTCATGGTCTCTCTTTCGGTTCTGAGTTGAGTTTTTTATTCCATTATTTTTTTTGTTTGTTTTTTTTAGTCTAAGAAATATACTCCAACAGATTTTACTAATTTGCCCCCTTCCTGCTCTTTACCCAATTAAAATTAAATCACCCTCTTCCTCAACATCCTCCTTCAGATTTGCATCCTTTCGCAAATCCTCTTCTGTCTTGCGTTCGACTTCCTCTAACCACGTCATCGTCGCGCATAAGACACTCAGCGATTTTCCTGTACCCGTCGGAGATTCGAAAATTCCAATCTTAAGATTCAAAAAATTGCAGACGTTTATTTATAAAACAGCTTACTAGTACCTGCTGTTTTTCAATGCAATGGCTGATCTCTTTCATAAGATTTAACTGTATGTCATAGGGAGGAAAAGGAAATGAAAACTCGTCCATCTAGAATTTGGAACTCATACGTTAGTAACTGCACTATGGCCGGAAGAATATCACTGTCTTTACAGAATGACGAGAACACTTTTAAACAAACAAACAAAGTTTAACTTTTATTAACTAATTCTCATAACAACACGAAAACTCATGAAAGCATGCGAATTTTATACAAAGTAGGCAACTGAAGAGAGTGTAGAGATCAAACTAATGTCACGGGAAGAGCAAGAATGTTATACACAGCGAATTATATTTCCGGATGTACAATCATTCTCTGTATGGTAATTTTATAGGCATCTATTTCTGCCTCGTACAGTTGTTGTAGCTGTTGCATCTTCTGTTCTTCGTTAACGCATGAAGCAGCAACCTAAAATCAATGAGATGAAAAAAAAATCGCGTAAAGGACGTTGCAGTGAAAGAATGGAATAGAGGTAAAGCAGTTGCCTTACATCAACAAAAATAAAGCAGCAGTTCACTGCTACCTTACTTTCGTCTTACGAAAGTTGTCTCACTTACTGTATGATGAAGAAAACACCTTTTTCGCAATGGAATGATTGAAGTGAATTTGCTAGTATTTTGGAAGTTGATACGGAAAGCGCTTAGCGTTGCAAAATACTCAGTAAACCTGCTTCACAGTTTTCGTGAAAATGCGGGAGTACACACAAAATTAGCAAGAACACTAAAAGTGGATGTTCTTAAATCTATTTTTCTCTGAAGCACATCTTAGAAGTTGAAAATATTAACAAGCGTCTTGTGAATATTCCAGGTTGCTACCCTCTGTTCGCGAGAACGCAAGAATTTGGGCTAAAGGACGCACTCGTGAGCTGGTTCTTATCTTGAGATCTAGCACTATCGTAAACCGGATTTTATGGTCAGCTATGACAGAATCCACATTTATCTAACAAAAATCCAAAAGAGATAAAGAATAAACGCAAAAAAGATGTGATCGAAAAGAGAATGCACATCAAAATAATAGCATATTATGCATTTCAGTTGTTGAGCACCTTCACCTTTTGAAGGGTAAAATTCTTCTTTACAGCTTAGAGTCAAACTATTTAAATTGAGAGTACACAGCCAATTTCCACTGCGGTGAGAACAAAATCAAAAAACAATCAAAACGAAGAGTCTAGAGCTCGAAAAAAGTCATGACAAAATAAGCGTTAATTAATGGAAGGAGACATGCATACCTGTGCGTATTCCTGATCGTCCAATGCCCGCTGGATTTTCCTCCAGTCTCGTTCGTTCCTCTTCATAGGAGCTTCCAACCTGAATCACAACGAGATATGTCAGTTTTGCAAAATACCTATTTGCTGAGTGGACCTCATTACAGAATCTTCACGAACCTTCTCTTAACATCCAACCTGTACGCTTTTGCATCATCAGCATTTTTCATGTTAGTGGATTTTAAACGTAGAATTTCGTAAACACGACGAGACTGGCGCTGGCAAAGTACAAATCACAATTGTGCAGATTGCATCATCACTGTGCAACATACCTTATTTATTTTTAGTTTCTTCTGGGCTGCTTCTTTCATTTCGAAAGTGTAACCACCTTTCAGCTTTTCAGGTGCAAATTCAGGAAGTTTGGAACAGTTGATGCAATCCACATAATCTCGAAGGAAAACAAAGTTGTCGGCGGGATCTTCCGCTAAAAGGCATTATAGATCCACGGATGACCCCTAAATGCATTCGGTGGTGGAAAAACTACCTGTGATATCTAAAACTTCTTTCATTGAACAAAGATCCTTATATATGGTATCCAAGAGTTTGGCGCCTATGCCACACTTCCTAAATAATAGCGATTAGCTTACAATGAAAGCAACGCTCTCCTTAGTATTTTTTCGGCACATCATAAATTCGGTATGGGTGAATAAGTGAATGACTCACATGCAAAAATCTATAGAATAAACATCTGTACGAAAATCATATTTCTGACATGACCGTCAATGACAACGAAACCTTACCTAAAGGGCGGCAGAAGCATGATTTGAGCAACCCGAGGCCTTATCCTATCCGGATAGGCATAGAATTTGTACAAAGAAGCATATCCAGCAAGAGAATACACACGTGATCCATCTCCTGCATCATTTGCCTTCGATTCGAACCTAGATATCAAATAACTTGATATCTGGTTTGATAAAATACAAACGTGACTCACAAAAAGTAATGCATCCACAGCGGGTCGGCATTATCAGTATATTGAGCGGCATCGATATACCACAAAGCAAGCGACTGTACTCTAGCGAGGTAGTTGTCAAAATCCGGTGAGCTTTCAGTGATTTTGTACAGTTCAAAAAATTTTTCTTCTAAATACCCACATCAAGAACTTCATGTGTAGCCTATAGCGATGATTAAGCTTACTAGCAGTAAATTTTGTGATTAGCTCTCCAAAAGGCTTGAAGTTCTTCTGTTTTGCCAACATTACTTGGAATTGTTCTTTAGTATCCATCATCATATTCATCTGGTCACTAGGTAGTTGTTCTCTTAGCTTGCCAATGACGTCATCCTCCTAGAAATATTGCGATAAATGATGTGGGGTTAAATGAACTGCACCAACCTTCATATCTTTCTCAACACTAGAGACGGCTTTGGAAAAAGACAGCTGTGGATATACATACATTGTTGCATCCGAATAGTATACATTTACAGCAAGGTCTTCATAACCATAGATAGTTTCACTAAATCAAAAGTAAAATGTGCTTTTAGAGGGCTCACAAAAGTGAAAAACTCACTTATCGCCAAAGTGTTGATGCGCAAATTCAGGATGGTGGCCTTCAACGTCATTCAAAGAGTCAATGTCCGATACTGCAATGTGTACATTGAGCCTGTGCTGCGAAAACGATCGAAAAAATAGAATTAGCTATCGATAAAACGTCTCTGGGTGACAGTTCAGATATACCGCCTTTAAATACATGACAGACGTGATGTAAATTACAAGCATACACCTTGGGTTAGAACAGTAGTAAAGCAGGCTTTCAAAGCAATCACCATCATGCAAAAAAAGTTGCTCTTTACTTGTTTCTTCAACGTTTTTTCATTTCTTTTCACCATAATATTAGTTCTGCAGCCCATAGACTACTTCAATGTGAAGATCATTTCACCATGTGACCAGCTGCGACGTAAATTTGGCGCTGTTCAAATAACGATAGAACATGTTGTCCCACCTTTGTGCTAGCATTTCAACACTGCAACGGCTATTGCAGATCGATGGCCCAATCGAACCGCGCAGCCACTGAATTCAAGCCACGCACAAAAAACCAGCAAGCACGACTTTTGCTCAGATAATGGAAATGTCAGTTTTTAAAGTCAGAATGTTTCGATAGTTGATAAAAGGTGATATACACCTGCGTTGTCCTAATTGTCGCGAATGAACAAGTCTTTTCAAAAAAAAAATGAACCCGGACGAGACAAAGGTTTTGACAAGCTAACTGTAGGAGACTCTGCTTTGAAAATGGAAAATCACATGTGAATCTTGCTCTCAACGTCTGCTAATTTTACTTCCGGACATCAAGCATTTGGAGCTACAAAGATCTTAAAACCCAAACTACGCTTATAGAACGCGAATGAGCATACTGTCTAACAGAAAATTCAAAAAGTACAGCACTTGTTATTGCCAAAAGTTAGTCTACTCAGAGGCAGCAACTCAATATTTATGAACTTTGCTTCGAAAGCTTATAATCGTTACAAATCAATGTGAACAAACTTACCAAATCGAATCCATACAGTGCTCAAAGCATCAGAGACGAATCTGGTGCCGGAAGCGGCCAAAAGGTTGTCTTGTTCCATCCTCACCATCTAAAATGAAACTAGCAAATTCTCTCGTCAACAATGCCAAACTCTAGAAACCCAAATCCTCTGTAAACCATATAACCCACAAATGATGAAAAATCCGAAAATAACAGTGTAGCACAATTTGAAACACATCAGTTTCGCGCAAAGTCGATAACGCAGGGAATCGTGGCGGGACTGAAAACCGATTTGGCGGTGTTCACAGCCGCACCGCTGCCGCTACGCAGCAGTCACTTCGAATTGCGACGCCGTCAAACAGTGCAGGCGGGCCTTCTGCCTGTCAGAAGGCTCCCCTGACGACGTTGTCGTGACGGTGGAGTTCTTTTGGGAAGTTGCTATCGCACAATACTCCAGTTCTGACATGTTGGCCAAGTTAAAAGTTCAGTTCTTTCAGTAGAAGGCGCGTGAAGACGTGTTTCATCATGTGCACTTTTGTTATTATCATGCTTGGACCTGTCCTGACAAGCGGATGCAAGATCAGGTGTGCGTTTCTTGGCCCCATCATGTTTGGTGCTCCGTGGGGAACGGTTTTGCCACTTTCCCGCGTGAATTCGCTTTGTTATGAGGATATTATGGCAAAATTTTCGAAAATCGCGAGAGAAATGTCCTATTCATCAGATGAGCTCTGATTTAAGACCAAATACAACTTGCCTTGGTTCTCCTTTTCCCATTCAGTCTCTATTTCTTCCTTTGGTTTTTTTCTTGGCTTATATCAGCGTTTCTTTCTGTTTTCTCAGTTTATTGGGTAAGGAAGTTCGATCTCTTCCAGACAGACTTCAATCAAAAAATTGATAACATTGATATCAAGATATTCTTCGCTTCAAAAGTTTTTCTTGTATCCAAGAAGAAATCGAATTTGAACTATTTAATTAGGAGCAGCGAGGTAGTCTATTCTAATCGATGTTGGCCATTTATTCAAGCAATTTTACCTCGTATTCGCTCTGTTCGTAACTTTAAAGCTCGAAGGTTTTTGCGCAGTATCGATTTTCCTGCAAGTAGCTCACCATCGTCATTTTTTCTGCTTTCTGCATTCTGCAGATAAGTAGTTCTTTGTTTATTATTTTACTGTCATATGTCAATATGGTATTCTAATATGAATTATACTTTTTGGTCGCAAGTCCCTTACCCTACTTATGTCGCGTAATCTTGCCGACTATCCGTTATCAATCTTTTTCCTTGCAGATTCCTGCTCTCTGCAGGTAATAGGATAAGGCTGTGATGAGTGCGTAGAATGTGTGCATGGACTATTATCGAATTGCAGACGTCAAAATCTTATGGGATTAAAGCCAGACTTTCTCGAAGCTTTTGCGAATACTGTGATGGAACATGAAAAAATCCAAATCAACGACGCCACCATGCTTCTGAAAGAACAGGAATCTTCTGTATTCAATATCGGTTCACCTAGACTAGTGAATAAGACCCCCCAGCTCCCGGATGGGAAACTGAACGGTTTGCCTGGTAAGGAACACTTTACTGATGCCTATCAAGGTAGTACCGATGTTCAAAGGCCATTGCATGTACAAGTCAACGGATTCGGTAAGGTAAGTACCGTTACGATATTTTTCACGTTTTCTTTACTCACCAGTGTATTTTAGGCCCCACTACAACCGGCTTCATCTTCATCAGCTCATGCCGTACAGTTTTCATCATCCTCGACTTCGCGAGACGGTTTTGCGCCACCGAGTAGTTCTCTCGGGTCTGTGAAAGCAATGGGTATGTTGTATGCCAGAAGTACAGATAGGCACTTTCTGTGCAGCGTCCTTAGTTGTTTTTTTTTTCCGTAGATCGCAAATTTTTTTCCTTGCTATAAGCGTTTCCAAGCTTTTGTGGCTGATTTCTTCTGTTTGCAGTCTACTGCTATAGATTTTTTTGAAAATTCTTCTGTGCGAGTTTTCTGTCGACGTAGTGAAGACCGTCCTTTTCAGTATCTCCACCTCCCGTTTCATCGCCCAGCTTTTCAGCCAGACCCCCTCTACCGCCAGTGAATACTCCTGGAGTTTCGGGAACAACATCGTATGTAAATCTCGGGTGTAAATTCGTTCAAACTCCATTTTTGAATCTTTAGGGGTCCTCTGGTGCATTCCACTGCTTCCTCACGGCGCGAAGTCGAAGTAACTCGAAGAAAAACCGTCGTGGACAAGATAAATAAAGGAAGAGAGCACAATGCTTTCACGTTCTTTGTCTCCGGGGTTTGTAGTTCTCAGAACAGTCAAAACATGGATTGACAACACTTCAAATAAACATTCATGTTCAGTTTGAGTCTCAAACTCCTACGCAACTGGCCATGGCTGCGCGGCGATTGAAATCCGTAGCTGAGGAGAAAATGCCCCGTCACATGCTGACAAGAGTCTATGGTGAAGAAGAAGGAAAAGTTGTAAAGAAGCGTTCGGTAGTACAGCAACATCTACCGCGTCCAAGACCGATGGCTTCCAATCAGGAGTATGACGACAGCACGGATTTATCCGATGTCGAGGTCAAGGAAAAGTGAGTTTCGAAGTTCTTTTGTGACGAACAGGATGCACAGGTGGATCATTATAGAGTTGAAACAATTACCGTGAAATATGGACAACTGAAGGCTTCCGTTAGTTACAAGATGGCAGAAAATTCCGTGCAAATGGAGAACATCGCTCGACAAGTTTGTGCTACAATTCTTGTAATATCTGCGTTTATAAAAGCATTGTCTTTCTTTCGTTCTCTCGAGATTCAAAAAAATGAACCCCTTTGTTTGTAAATCAAAATGAGGAGCTTAGGTGGAAGACCTGGATGGATTTTTGTGTGTTGATGGCCAAGTACCATCGTGTTCGAAGGAAGTAGATACGCAGTCATGCGCAAGAGTCCGTCCATTAGATGTCCGCTATGTTCTTACACGAAGGACACGCTACACACATCAGTTTCGGTTAGAATTTGCTTTTTGAGTCATAGTGGGAGAACTAAAAGACAAAATCGTGCAGAGCTCCTATCGCTGCTGACGGCTTGAACCAATCCCGCCTGTTCAGCACCAGTGCTCCTATCACGCTAAATATGGCACAGGGTATGTTGCAAGTAGAAATAATCTCATAATAGACCTCATGCCTATAGATTCATTATTTCATTCAGCTTACATGTTCAGACGTGTGATTCGTTTGATATCCACTTTTTTCAGTAACATGTGCTCCGATGCGCTATGCTGAAGCTTTTGCTCGAATGATGTCGATGAATCCAGCATTTGCGATCCGATCGAGAATTGATGTACCTGTGTGGTTGAATAGGGAAGCGATTGGAGTGGAACGGCGAAGATGTGCTCCTGTTCATTTTGACGAGCCCGATGAGACAGAGCGAGGTCAATCCGTCTCGAAGTCCAAAAGAATGCGATTGAGCACTAGAAGTTCTGTTTCGTCCTCCGGTACGTCATCTATCGAGGACAGTGAGGAGGAGCGAAAGGATAAGGTAAGCGATCATGGTATGACTTTGTTACAGCTTAAGTCCCACTTTCCAAAGTGTGTTTTCAATTTTTTTACGATTGCATATCTCTTCCTTTCAAGTTTTCCCCTGTAACAAAGGTCCTTTTCCAGTCTTACACAGTCGGAGGATTCAGCGAGAAAAGAAGGCATGAGATTCGAAGAGCAAGAAACAAGAAGAAGGTGGTAAATAAGTTGTTACTTACGACTGATACAAACTATGCATTGAATTTTAGCAACGAAGAAGGGTTCGTCGTCTCATGGGAGTGGAATCGGATTCGGACTCAGATTCAAGTATAGATTCGTATTTCAAAGTCAAAATGGAAATGCCTAAATACTCTGTGAGTAGCAGCGAGTTTTGCACTTGCATCAAATAACAAAAGTGCAAATTACGTAGTTGCTATTTCAGGATATCGAAGTGCCAAGATGGCGGAAGTTGGCGCCCGAAGAACTCATCGATATTACGCGGCATAAGGAACCATGTGACCGTTGCAGTACTACTCGTCTGGAGACACTGGTTGCGAGGAAGCATCTGCGGCTAGCAAAGGAAGAGCGACTGTATTTTGAGGTAAGGTGTGTTAGGCGGTTTGCAGCTCGTGGAGAATTGGAGTAAATGGTAAATGAACTGTTCGCTTTGTTGACTGCAAGAAAAAGGCATTATTTTACATAAGGGTTCAAAAATGTTTAAACCTCTTCTTTCTGAGGACATTCTGGCTTCTCGAGGATAGTCTGCTGGATGGGAGGGATACATGCGCATTTTTTGTATTTTATAGTAATCAGCAAAGAAGTCTGCATTTTCGCCTTGTATGCAAAACGTCGTCTAGTGCATTCTTTTTGTTACTAAACAGATAATGTCTTTTGCATGTGTTTCTGCTGTTTATGCTAAGAGGCTGAGATCCTTGCGTAGTTGTTAGTGCTAGCAGCAGCGTCACCACGGAAGCACCTTTTCGCTGATATGTGAAAACACAATGTACCTCAGCAGTGAAGTCAAAATTTTCTGAATTACTAGCGACATCACTTGGCGGGTCAATTGTTGACCTCATCATTTGTAAAACCAAAGAACCAGGAGAATTTTCCAAATAAGAAAGTGTGTTTGTGAAAGGAGGTTTGGAGGTTGGTTGTGAGCGTAATTTCAATTGAATTATTAATTCTTTATACGGCTTACGCTCACAACCAGTCTTCACAACCAACAAGGATGCCAAGATTCAAAAACTACCGTAACAGTTGTGTTAGGGAAGGAGCCTTAATTTGGACGTAGTTGTAATGAAAAGGTTCGCGAAAGTAGCTGCGTTGGTGGGATGATGTTTATAGTCCTGAGCAAGAAGCCGATATGTTTAGTGAAGAGAAGACAGAACTTGAACCCTTGAGTTAGAAGCATAAAAGATAAATAAGATCATAAAAGAATAAATAAGATCATAAAAGATACGTTTCACGCAGATAGCGGAATCTCAAATCGAAGGTGCAAAAAGGCTGAGCAATTGATCGAAGTTGTGAAAACACGGTAATGAAGTCGACTCAAATGATTGTGACTTAGACACATTTTGAAAAGAAATTGATAAACGAGCAGCGAAAAAAATCATAAACGAATAAAAAAATTCAAAAAAAAAATTAAAACCATTTAAAGAAGTGGGAAGTCTAACCTGATCATGGATGGATATAGTGATATAATGAAGGACGCGATGCGATGTTATCTCGATCTCTTAACCAATTTTTGTTGCAGGGAAAGCGGCGTGAGATGCCATCGGTGGATTCCGATGCCGATTCCCAAGCTGAGGGGGCGGACCTGAATCCGTTGATCTATTGCACTTTGACCGAATCTGAACGAGCCCTGTACGACCGCTCACCTCACGTTCCTAGCGGACGCGAATTCTTGCAAAGACCACGATGAACAACTACGATGGAATTTGAGGAAGAGCGTGTCCACTGCGATGGCATAGGCTGAAACTGAAGATTATGTAGTCTTCTGTGATCTCACGGGCCTGATCTATTGTGGAATCGTTGTCGTTCCAAACTCTCCATCATTACATGTCACAGTGCGTAATGTGTAATGTTCTGTGAAATATATTCAGGGAAGATCGCGTTGTATGAGCATGTTACGCGAATTGTCATAATTTTCCGTGTGAGTGTAAGATCCTTACAAAGTTGACCTCCTTTCCACAATCTGTATATCCGTTAATTACGGTGTCAACCGGTGTCGTCGATTTCCCTATTAGAGTTAGCAAAATTTAGTTTATATCTGGAATATGATGTTCTCTCTTTTACTTTGATTTTTCTTTGTACTCTTTTCTTTTGCTTTAACATCAAGTAAACATTTTGTCCCTCCCACTGAAGGTTGATTAGCATTTATACGTGTGCAGAGATTCTTGTTGACGTCAAGTTACTACAGGATGGTGAAGCCCCAGTTAAAAAATTCAATGTTGTCATTGTTGTAATTACCATGTTATATACAAAATAAAACTGTTCTCCGAGCAAGCTTGAAAAATAAACGCTCCTCTTGTGGCGGTGGTTCCACTTGGTTATCGTGGGCGTTTACCGATGCTTTCAGACAAAGACTGGTCATTGGCTTTTTGTTTGAGAGAAATATTCATGTCAGTGAGAGTGCATGAAGTAGAATGAATAGAATAGAGAAAGATTGGTTTGTTAGGTTGGTTAAAAGGTTTGTCCGAAAGCTGGGCTGCACGAACCAATGCTTTCTCAGCAGACTACTTCGTATACAATGATCACTGAGTCAGCCAACATGATGAAACACTGACAGAGTATGGCATTGAACAAATCAGTTTCATATATCCATCTTGAGACTAGAATACTCGAAAACGCTGTAGCAACGTTGCCTAAAAAGCTTAAACATTTTGCAGTGTCAATTAGGAATTATACAATTTGCATCAGAAGTATGAACCTGTCAATCGTACGTTAGCACTGGTATTCTAGTCTCAGAATAGATGGTAAGTTCAATATCACGATTAGTCATTTTGTGACTCAGAGACTGGAAACCTCTTCGCACGCATTGTCCAAACAAGCATGCATCTCTTGGATAATAATCTCAGATTAGACAGATCATAGGTATAAATTGTCAACCACACGATATAGCTTGTTTTGACAATGTGCTGCGGTTTCGAGTCTCCCAGTCAGAGAATGGATACTTACGTCACAAGTGACTTTGATTCTTCTTATGGTCCAGAATAAATCGAATACTCTTATATGCGGCAAAACATGAATATGAATCTAACGTCACCTCATGATTGCGTGTGCTTACCTCGTTGGGTAGTATCTGTCGTCATCCGGTACCAGGCTTTTTCCAAAATGGATTGCTAGACGTTCATGCTATCCTGAAGTGCTCTGGTCTTTGTGTGCTGCCAGCCATTTCTCAAGATACTTTACCCTCGAGCAGTTCTGTTTAGCTAGCCTAGAAATTTAGATGCTTACATGAGAAAGCGGATTATGACATGTGATAAAAACAGGAATAAACTCTGAAACTTGGGTTTTTTCAGAGCACCAGGCATTGTGTTGCGCGTGTCTGACAGCAAATTGATAATTAGTCAGAATTGAGCATGTTTTTTTGCGCAGGCATTATGCGGACGAAACTGGTGTGATAATCAGAGTACAGTCGATTCGTTGACCGCACGGACTGATCACTGCGGAACACGCGCCGCGAGGTAAAACGGTTGCCAAAATTGCCATTGTACAAGTCGGGATAGGGAAACGAACTCCGCCAGTTCAAGCCCGCCTTCGCTACCTGGTCCTTTGCATGTCACCAGGACCAGCAGTTCGCGGAGGCGGTCCAGACAGGCGGAGTTTGTTCCTCTACTCGTGATGTTCCTCTACTCTATAAGTCATGCCCTCGCAACATTTCAGCCGCGTCACGCGTGATCCGCAGCGTTTGAGAGTCCAAGCGATCAACAAATCGACGATACTATGCTCGTCTCCTTTATAAAACCTAAGATTGAAGCAAAAGGAAAGTATAATACGCTAGTAAACGTCAATAAAAACGAAGGTGTTTAGAACAAAGAATATAGTCTGTGCGTCCATGAAAAACAAATATTATCTTGGCCCTACTTTGAAGCCGCAATTTGGGGGAGAAGGGAAACAAAAATATTACTCGTTCCACGCAGAACATTGAAATAATTGATAAGCGCAGATCTAGAGAGAGATTTGCCTGAGCAGAGCAAAAGCATCCAGACTATAACTGCTTGTATCGTGCTTTAAACACCATCATGTGCAAGAGCTTAGTGTGAAAGAATGTGGGCTGTTGTCTTCATAGTAGAATTTTATGCCAGTTCTTGTGCTTTTGTTACACTAAGTGTATTTTATATGAAAGTATGTGTCTTTTGATAAAATTAATTGCAATGACAGTGCGCGTTCGCTGTCCTCTGCGGCTTCAGCGCATGAGGACCCAACATTATTCAACCGCTCGCACGCTTGTGGTCAAGGCAAGTGCGGAAAACGGATTTTGTACAGCTTTAACGAATTCCTAAACGCACTATGCAGTGTAAAAATAAATAATTTACTTACTCGATCCTAATTCCAATCATGTTCTGCCTGGAATATTGATTTGTCAGATGCTTCATGGCCCCACAACAAGGATATTTTGACTACAAGAAATAGCTGAGTCAGTTGATGTGTTTTTATCCAACTTATACTGAAAAGGTAATCTCACCTTCTCCTGAACTCTTTTCCTGTTACTTTTGACGATAGATCGACATGCTCTAGTGCGTCGGCGTGCCATAAGTGCATCCGCACTACAATCTGCGGGTAGAAGATGGTTGTGCACACTTCTTTAACTCTGCAGTCAATAAACATTGAAATCACACATTCGAAAACAGTTTATAGGGCTTCTAACTTCCATTCTTCATTTTAGAACCCGATAACATGAGGATGAAGATAAAAAACATTAGGAAAGATTTAATAGAGTTTGGCTACTCACTCAAACCCTTGCACAAAGTTATGAAGTTCTTAGTGCAAACGCACAGTCGCCATCAAGACTGTACTTACGCTTAGCACAGTACATTTCTACTAAAGCTTCTTTTACAAAAATGAAAATGAGAATTCAAGTAAACAAAATTATGTTCTGATAAAGAATCTTGTGGCCCCAATATACCGAGCGTCTAAATTGGCAGATCTCGTAAGGTATTCCTGCGCTGTCTCAAATTTCGAGCAAAGTGACATCATCAATCATCGTTTGAGTGTTTTCGAAAACGCAGAAACAGATACAATTTAATTTCGCTTTAGACATCGGTCATACTTCGAGCGTTTCCGCCAATGCGGTCGCTACGCGATTTGGCCGTTTGCAGATAAGTACAAGAGCGCCAGCTTTCATTTATGTAGGTGCGTGGTTTACATAAAGTGGTACACACACACATGCTTACTCTTGCTTACATAAAGGGCAATCCAAATCGCGCAGCAATCGAAGTCGCGCGAGGTATAACCGACGCCTCAGAAAAGTACGCTGACTAGAAGGACGATTAGGGATTCACAGGCACAGCATGGCCTAAAGGTGTATGCACGTGCGCATCTCCGTTGAGGGAGCGCAGTCTAAAAAAATTGTACCCTAAAGCTCCAGTGATTTTGATTTCACGATGTCTATCCCTCATCGCTTTACTCTTTACTATAAACGTAAAACAAAAATGTACAGCCGTATAAGTCGCACTTTTCAGTTTTTTCAACCTTTGACGATAACCAGCGACAAACCTCGTTCCTTCAATATCATAATTTTTTGAAAACATCGCGATGTTGGGCTGATCATCTCACTTAACAGTGCTCATTTTTCTAGTAAAAGCGGATGACTAGTCAAAATACTAAAATTTTCGCTGGACCTTAAGTTCCGACCTAAGGTCCATCGAAATTCTCATTGCTTCAACAGCTCATTTGATCTCATCGGAAGCATATCTAACTGTGGAATTAGATAATCAGCAAAATTTTGGTAAACCTCTATCAATTTTGAAGGAAGAAAATTGACTTTGGAAAGACGGGTGGCGGCCGCGGGTCATCGGGGGGAGGGGGTTGCACGTAGAAGGAAAATGCGGTTTATACAGCAGTATGCTCTTGTTCTGTATGTTTATCGTAAAGGATAGTAAAAACATAATGGATAGACGAAGAATGGATAGACGCGCGTAGATCTGGGGCGCTTTGGGATATAAAACTTTCTTTCAAGCTGCGCTGTTGCGGCACTGAAAGTGTTCGCGCTGTTTGCGGCAAAGTGGAGGGCGTAATGTGCTAGGAGGATAGAAGAAAATTGTTTCTTTCCTTTTTTTTATAAAAATTGCAACGTATCGTGTGCGGATTGTACCCCGAACTAGCAGTTGCAAGTTGTTTTAACCATTCGTTATTAGGTGACATCCACTTACTCAGCCAGTCTCCCCTTTGTAATTTCTAATGAATATGACCATGACTGACCTGTGCTTCCAAAGTTGTCGGTATACTGCGGCGCTTAATCAGTCATTGTGGTCATACAATCTTTGTGCAGACGATAACTTGCGTAGTTTGTTCTGAACGAAGTTTTCTTGAAGTTGTCGGTCGCATTAGATCTGTAGGTAACTAGTCATTCTAGGCTGGAGTTGTGCTCAACTTACCGACTTATACGAACCTATGATGGCCAAGTATCATAATGTCACACATTGCAAAAGTATAGTGAGGGTATCAGTTTCAACTCTGACACTCTAGAAACTGCTGATCTGAAGTTCTCATTGCCTAGAGGCGTGAAGTCAAGCTGAGTACGTAGTCACGTACCCATCATGCTTCGGTGAACGCTGGATGTCGAAAGTCGGTGTGAGCGTTTTGTCAATGTTGGAGTGTCTTATGCTTTTGTTCTTTGTTCTCAAGAAGCTCTAGGAGCAATGTAATACAAAGTGTTTACTGTCTTGCACGTTCTATGGACATGCATCCGCCAATTTCCCGACATTATGCTAGTTTCCTCATCTATATCCTCATGTGATTTCTTGCTCATGCACGATAATCAAAAATTATCGTGGTACTGCGAACGGTCCAAGAGAAGGATAGTTGTTGTTGTGGCATCTCGCTAAGTCATCAGCTTATCCGTGCGATAAACCGCTTTCAGCGCTCTATATCGCGCCTTATTCTGTTACTTCCTCCCTCTTCACTTTCGTGTAGTTTCAAGCCTTTGCAAACTTTCTCTTGTTGTGTTTACTCTTTCAGAAAGCGCTAAAATCAAGACACTGCAGTTTTTTCAATTTCAGAAGGTCATGAGACTGGCGGAGTTCGCGGCAAGGTTCATCATAATGCTAGTCAGATCACATGGTAGCTTTTGTTTGCTATTTATACTGAGCATTGCCAAACGTTTGAAATCTTCTCAGCTGAGTTATTAAAGGCAGCGTCCAAGCTCCCAACTATGTGGCTTCAAGTAAGCGCTGGCGCTTCTCCGTTTCACATTGTGGGGTCGGTGATCACCCTGTGGAGGGTGAGGTATAACGGCCTGTCAAGTCTACTCTTGCTGCGGGAAAATCCGATTACTTGATTAGCAAGATTCGAAGAAAAGCTGCACGCTGATCGTGCCGGGTGGTAACGACCGACTGTCAGGTTGCCTGAAGGCTCCATGTATGCGAAAACTACATATGTGAGACGACTCATCTGAAATGCCAAGACAATATAACCAGATGTCAATTTCCACGCCCTTTTCGATTTTGTAGAGCTCATCAGTTACCAGGTCATCGCTTTGCAGAAAGTGAAGTCAGGAAAGACGTGCAGTTGAGTGATGGGACCTTCACATTTGTGATAGAGTTTCATACAGAACGTTGGAGGCATTAGCTTTGTCCTCCGAAGAACATCAGCATCATCAACTGCTAAGTTAGTGCCTTTTACGATGGCACGGGGTAGATCGTCCGCCAGGAGGTCCTTCTACGAGTTTGTTATGGGCAACTTCAACCGAAAATAGGGATGCCTTCAAAAGAGGAAAAGTCGCTGAGCCGAAACGAAAACAGCGGCAACCATTCTGTTGGAGACCTCTCCGCCGCACGACTTCGTGGAAAATTCTTTATGAAGAAAGAACAAGGCCAGTAGACATGGGCTCAACGCAACAATTCGGAGGTCGACCACCTTACCAACCGAGTGTGGAGCTTGCTCGACGTCTCAGTAATTCCGTCCTTCTGCCATTGAACTGTTCGGCTGGGGGAGCTCATATATAACAACATGTGAGCCTATCGAAAAATACCCACATACGACAGTTTCTAGCTACTAAAAGAATTGCGAGCCTGCGGAGTATGTGCCTCAGCCTTCAACGCGTTTCGAAGATTACCAAGAATTTTTCTTGCATTAGAAGAGAGTAGAGCCGAGGCAGGATTAGAATGAGCTTATCTCGAGCGAGCGGACGCCGTTGCATAACACCTTTGCAGGAGGATTCTATATAGGCAACGAAGTGAACAGCCGAAGAAAGACGAAGTTTCAAGAAGTGCCGATGGAGATCCTATGAGTATCACGTGCCGCTGCCAGCACTACTGAACAAAGATAAGACCCCGATTTTACCCTGAAAGATGGAATCTACAGCGAGAACTTCTACACCAATCTGTCTGTTCCGCTCATCATCGCTACTCATGCCGAAGCCTTTGGAAACAACTGGAGAAGTATTACTACGATTCTATCTGTTGAAGTGCGCACCGCATCATACGAAGGCGACCACTGCTCTAGGACTGAATCGTCTTCCTATCGAGTTTGTGCGTGCCGGCGGACACCGTTTACACGAGATTCTCGCGATGCATTGAACCACTTATTTTCAGAACTTAGGAACTACTGACCGTTGTCGAAAACCTCAAGAACGTCCTGCTCGTCAAGAAGGGCGAACGGAAGGATCTTCAAAACTACTCTACGATATGCCTGCTTTTTATAGTGTAAAGCACTTCAAGAATGTTACCACTCGCATATCAAAAGCACTGGATGAAGCCCAATCCAAGATTAAGTTAGATTTCGCAGAAACTGAGCTGCGTGAACCAAATTTAAAAGTTTCGAGGGACATAGAAGTTTGCCATGGCTACCTGTTTGTTACCTGTTCTGATTCTCATGGGAGTCTTTGACAGCCTTGAAACCAACGCCATCTTATCAGCTTCAGTTGATCGAGTGTTGAGGAGATTGGTTAATTGCTGTAAGAACAGCACAACAACGTTATACTATTCGATCGCCCGTGACTATGCAGTTGGGAAGAAGGTCCGAAAAGGCGACTAGTCTTACCGAAATTGTACATCGCGACATTGCGATAAGTGATGAAGTGGACCGGAGCGAAAGAGGTCCGAATTGATTGGAGATTCTTCTCGTCTTCAAGTATCACTAGAGATGCTAGAGGAAATTAACGGAATGGAAAAGAAGATGAGCAGGAGGGTACTCATTGTGAAGAATGCCTTTTGCGAGGGTACAAAAATGGGACTAGAGGGCACCTTCATTACGGAGACACCACAGAACACTTAAGCGCAGTCTTTTGAAGATAACCCGTCATGAACAACATCGTGTCAGACTTCGCAGTGGGAAAATGAGAAGAGTGTCCGATCTTCATGACCTGTAGATCGGTCATATCCTGAGAGGGACAGACGACAGATAGAAATTAATAACATCAGGATGTTTTCCTCGCGAGGCAAAACTCCTCAAGGAAGACTACCAAGGAGACGGACAAGCGTGTTTGTGTAACGGATTCCAGCTAGATACCATTTTCGCACCTGAAATTCGTGGACGCAACTACGGCGACAAGACCGTGAAAATTTGAAACGCGCGACATGGACAATGGTAATTTGCTGCGTCCCCCCACGCGAAGACGGGCAATCCAAGTGAGTATCATCTATTCCGTGACTGGACTCGAGAATGCTTCGCGGACGTAATAAGGCCTCGGGCAAAGTTCACGCGATTTCATCGTCGCAGTTGATCGAGGCAAGTGTTACGAATTCATTGCATGTCAATCTTCTTATATTTCGGTTGTGGTAGTTAGTCACGATTAGTCGTGTTGGAAACTATCACAACCGAAATTCGAGAAGGTCGGCACGCAAAGATATTGTTATAGTTTTGTTGTAGCGATCAATCGCGACGATCAAATCGCGTGAACTATGCCCGAGGCCTGATAGGCAAAACTTCCTTCTGGTTCTCGCTAAGTCTTGAAGAGGTAGAACAAGTAAAGACTTGTTAACGATAAAGCTATGCTTGTCTTGACAGTGTGTGGCGAACGTCGAATTTCCGTCAGCGCTCGGCACAGGTGGCTTATATGGATATCGTCATTTTCGCGACAGAAAGCAAAGAGAATATCGTTTTTTGGCTGAAAACAACTTAGGTTACGTTTTCTTCAGTCGACATTTCGTTTTTGAGGGTTTTTACTTTTGTGGTTAGGGTCAGAGGGCACTTGTAAAATTTTGGGAAATTCAAAAGGGACTTCGTTTTCTGCATTTTCGGAGAGCCATCTCGTGCCGAGCCCGGTCTCCCTTTCAGAATCAGTGATAGTGAACATTCATGTTCGTTATCCAGTTTGAAGTGGGAGATTTGAGAAATGAAAGCTGCGCAAACGTTGCTCACGGTTTGAACTTGTTTAAGTAAGGTTCGGTAATATACAAAACAAGGTGGTGCACAAGTTCATACTTGTCGAGTACACGTGTGACAACGTTCTGAAGCCTCCTTATCTCTTAATGAATGATACTATACTGCTTAACACTCTCTGTCTTTCTAAAAAAAACCTGCTGCGCGAATACGACACAGCTGGTAGGATGTTCATGCTCTTGACCCACTTACGGATTCGGTAGCAGTAAAAAAAAGCTCTACGTGCTCGTGGGTAGCACATTTCTTCGAACATATTGTCACGTAAAGTGGCGAAATTGGAAATTGGGAAGCAGGTGAGGTTGATGATTTCAGTTTTCTTCTGGTCTGCTTTCTCACTTGCCTTTGATTCATCATTCTCGAACTCGTCGCTATTGTTTTGGGTATATTTGCACAAATAGTAATATTTAAGCGCACGACCACAACTTTAATTTGTTGCGAACGAAGCATGGCCATCTTGGATAAAACATCTATCGGTCTTTAGGCATGAACATGACTCTAAGCGAATTCTTTTGATGCTTTCAAGAATGCTAAACAATTATCGGAAGACTCACGTGATGGTTTGCCATGTTGAAATTGACTTCAGAATTCAAGACGTGTTCTTCGTCTCTATGCACTTCTATACTGTTTATTGATCCTTTTTAACGCCATCCATATTGTAATTGAAACTGTTTATCTCAAGTGACTGAAGAAATCCCTTTCCGTTTGCTCATTTGATCATTTGACCACAGACATGTCACTTTTGCCTGTTTCAATGTCAAAAAGTAGAACGACGTGATGTTCGTGCTTTGTGTGAAGTACGAAATTGCGCTCACCTGTTGTTTTTCCAAATTCTCTCTCCTGCCGGTTTTCTAAACCTTAACAGATTGCAAGACAACAAATGATAATCACAACGGATACATGTCAATTTGCATCATTACGTGCTTCATAAGTGCTTGAGTGCTTTTTGTCTCATTTTATGATGTTTGACTCCAAAAAGCTAGATGTTTCCTATCAACAACTGATGACGAAGGTGTCCAGCTCAGCTGGTCGTTCTCATGTGATCGATTTTTATTTATTCTTTGCATGCCACATTGCCTCGTGGTTTCATGTTTCTTCTTTGATGCTGGCAATAAGGTATTCTTCAACGTAAATGGTGGAATCCGCTAGCATTCGTTCGATATCCTATTGCCCTTCTTCCGCGCATTGTCAAGCGAGGGTTGCACTTTCATGTTTACTATTTTTTGCTGATTTCCACATTGCTCTAGGCTGCGCATACACACGCGAATTAATTTCTATATTGATTTTGGGTAAAAAGTCTCGTCTGATCTTGACAATTTAAAACAGTCACTGTGGTCTATGGGACCCGTCATACTTCGCCGAAAAAAAGTTCAAATAGCCCGAAAAAGCCCAAAAAACACCGAAAGAGCCGTAACGCCCCTTCCGTTTTGTCGCTAAGGCAGTGTGTTGATTTCACAGCCAAGCCCATTTGCTTCATTTTCTGTCGTATTCTACCAGAAGCTCGTTTCCGCGTTCCGGCTCTTTCGGGCTTTTTCCAGCTTTTTCCGGCTTTTTTGAGCTTTTTCGGGCTTTTTTGGGCGCCTTTGGGTATCGGTTTTCTTTTTGGAAGCGATATGTTGCGTCAACCCTGCAGTAACTATTTTTATTTTCAATGGAAACTAGTCGCCACCTTTACCCCGAATGTTGTTCATCGCCTTGTCATCTTGTCGGGTTTTGACGTTAATCTATTATTGATTCCTTTTGCACTGTTGTCGTTAATGATGGATAAAAAACGAAGATGCATTGATAATTTTAAACATAATAATTCTTATAGATGCAATTAGTAAATGGGTTGGGAGCATGGAATAGCTGCATTTATTCGCTTCAATTTGGACCAGCCCCTCGCCGTAGTAGTAAGTGAAAAGCATTTTTTTTCTTTTTTCTTTGTGATGAGAACCTACTTTTTAGTCATTAGAAGAACCACAACTGATTTGTTTCGTCCAAGTAGCTCTTATGCCGCTGTAATTCGTAATATTGGAAAAGAACACTTGAAGAAAGCTTTGGAAGGTGATTATCTTTTCATGCGGATTGGGGATACAGTGCGGTCTTTCAGATGGAACGCCACTGCCATTTATCAGTCGTCGAGCTATTCGTCGCAATAGATTCCAATTTACAATTAATGGGCAGGTATCAGTATGTATCACGCCCAGTACTGGAGTAGTAAGTGAGTTTTTTTTCGCAAAATTTTTTCTTATGAAGCTTTTTTCATTGTGAATTTTTCAGCTATACAAGAACGTGGTTTTCGAACTAAGCGAACAGGAACTGGTGGGATAGGCGGGCATCCGGGAAGTTCGAAAGGTGCTGATAAGAGCAAGTGAGTTGTTAGAGAAAACAACTCTTGTTTTTATTTGCATCACTGAATCTTTCAGATGGAATATGTTTGCCGATATGTTCAATCCGGTAAAGAAGAAGGAAGATGTTGCTGAAGGATGGAATCATTACGATACCGAACTGAAAAAGTTACCAGAAACGCATCAAAAAACATATACTGTAAGCATATACTGCAGCTTCTTTTAACTTGCGGTTTTTTCTCTATATATGTGCTTTTTGTTGCCTCATTATTTGACTCGACTTTCAGGATGGATTCGTGAAAGGTTTACTCGCCTCAAAAACTACACCCCATCCTACCCCGAAGAAATCGAATACACTCACTCGCTTTTATATCTTTCTTGTAGCTTGCATTCTGATAGGATACTTGATGGGCGGTTGGTTTTTATCAGCAGCATACATTTCAACCTCAACAGATTTTTATTTATTTTGCGCAAGTCCAAATGCGGTCATAATTTTTTCTCAAATTGACCATAACTTTGTTTTTGAATGTAGTCTAAACTTACTCTAGCAATTCGTATTCGAATAGGCGACCGCCAGCTGGGCTCCCTGTTCTTCTCGAATACCCAAGAAGTTAAACCAGAGGACATACAAGTGACGTTTGAGGATGTCAGAGGAGTGAGTGTTTGGTGACCATATTCAGTCGCAGTTTATTATCACAGTAGCTATTCCTGCTCTAGATGGATGAAGCCAAGCAAGAGGTGGAGGAGATCGTTTCATATCTTCGTGATCCGGAGCGGTATTCTCGACTAGGTGGTCGACTGCCCAAAGGTGTTCTGCTAGTCGGTCCACCAGGAACTGGAAAGACCCTTCTTGCCAGGGCAGTAGCTGGAGAAGCTCAGGTCGGTGAATTTGACTGCGTTGTCTTTCTGTGTTTATTAGTTTCTTGACTTTCTAAATTTGGTCTTGAATATGACTGCTATGCTAATAAAGTTCCTATATCTCCATGAGTGAAGATTCGGATCTAGGTACCGTTCTTCCACACATCCGGATCCGAATTCGATGAGGTCTTGGTGGGACAGGGAGCACGACGAGTTCGAGATCTGTTCGATAAGGCGAAAGCGAGGTATACTGAACGCGCAAAGACTTTTTGGGAGTTTCAAGCAGATCGCTTTCCAGAGCTCCCTGCATCATCTTCATCGATGAGGTTGATAGCGTCGGATCAAAGAGAGTGTCTAATAGTATTCATCCGTATGCCAACCAAACTATCAACCAGTTACTGAGGTAATATATCTTTCTACATCGTACTTTCTTCCTCTATACGTTCTAGCAATTCTTCATGATTGGATGAGAAACAATATCGTGCATATTGTGCATTCAATGCTTCGGTGGATAATTTTTTTTCAAAAATGTATAGATTTTTAGTGAAATGGATGGTTTCAATCGAAACGAAGGTGTCATTGTCATTGCGGCCACAAATCGAGTAGAAGATCTCGATAAGGTATGTCAGCAACATTCTGATTTTGATATTATATCTAGCACGTGCTCAGGCTTTGCTTCGCCCTGGTCGTTTTGATGTGCGTGTAACTGTACCAAAGCCGGATCTGGCGGGTCGCATTGATATATTCGATTTCTATCTGCAGAGGGTTGTGCATTCGCCAAATGTGGATCCAAGAGTTTTGGCCAAGGTGAGTGATGGGTAGTTGATAATTTGCCTGATACAGTTACGATTTAGGGGTCCACCGGATTCACTGGCGCTGATATCGAGAATATGGTGAATCAGGCCGCCTTAAAAGCTGCGAAAGAGTGTGCGCCAGAGGTGACTATGCAGCATTTAGACGAAGCTAGGGACAGGTAAGTAATATCTGTTTGTGGTCTTTTTAAATTGCAAAATTTCCATCGTGAGTAAAATTTACTGCACGCTCTATAAAAGTTCCTTTGGCTTGTCTTTTCTAAGAATAATTCTCATCCAGAATTTTGTGAGGTCTGAGGTTTGATTATTATTTTTGAGTATGACGCTTTTAGGATTCTCATGGGGCCTGCACGTACCGGTGGCCGAATTCCCGATGAAGAAGCTAATAAGAATACGGCGTACCATGAAGCTGGTCATACACTGGTGTCACTGTATACGAAGCATTCCACGCCATTGCATAAGGTAGTGCCTAATTTGCGTTTTTTGCTTTTGTTTTGTGCGACTGCAGTCTATCATTGATTTATTAGGATAATGGATGTTTTTCTATTTCGTCAAAGGCATATTTGCTCCAGGTCACAATAATTCCTCGCGGACAATCTCTTGGACATACCGCAACGCTACCCGAGAAAGATGAATATCAGATGACAAAAGGACAACTTCTCGCAGCCCTTGATGTAATGATGGGTGGTCGGGTAGCCGAAGAATTGATTTTTGGCGAAGATATGGTAACCAAATTGTTAATTTTTGGAATTCATTAAGTGTATGGTTTTGTATAGGTCACAACTGGTGCTGCAGATGACTTAAAGAAAGCCACAATGCTTGCGGTTCAAATGGTCAAGGCATTCGGTATGAGTGATAAGGTATTGGTTTTTCTTGTTTGCTTGGATTTTTGTTACATTGACATTTTTTATTTCGTCCAGGTAGGACTGCGAGACTTCACTGCGGAAGATGCCTCTACAACATCTTTGGTCAGAGTTAGCGATTTGAGCCCGCAAACTACAGATGCAATCGATAAGGAAATTAACCAAGTGCTTCAAGATAGCTACATGAGAGCAAAAGAAATTCTGACGAAACATAAGGTAAGCTATCATTATGACCTTCTGCTGATTCTATAGATTCGTCCCTATTCGTCCCCACTCCTTCTTTTTTTTTGAAAATACTCCCATTTTTCCCTTCATACTGCTGCGGAGTGCATCAAGTAAAATTTGAACTCAGCTCTTGCAATTCTAAATTCATACCTTAATGTGAAAAGAGTGTCGTGTCGAGCAGTAAGCTGTTACCTCAGTTTTAGCAGTGCAGCTTGACGCGACTTCCTCAAACTTCTTTGTTTGTAGAGTTTCCCAGACACTGACGTGGTAGCGCACGAATTGTGTCTGCTCTGTGCGCGCTTAATTGCCAGTGGCAAAGTTTATTTTTGAACTCGCCAGATGTGTTAGGTCTCAGCCTGAACAAACACGCAAAATGTCGGAATTGTTGTGTACGCTCTATTTTCTGTTTTAGAAAGAACATCAACTCTTAGCTGAAGCGCTATTGGAGTATGAGACTCTTTCCGCAGACGAAGTTAGGCAGATAATATCAGGGAACAAAATCAAGGTGACGATTTCAAGCTGTTTTATATAGACATCGTAGTGTACCATAATTTTATCACCTCGTACCACAATTTAGCGACCAACGCCAGCAGCGGTGAAAAGAAGTAATGAGACTCGCCAGCAGCATACTCCACTCGTACACATTCATATTCTAGAGGAAGGAAGGAAATGATGGGGTCACAAAATCACAAAATCGCGAGGTTTCTACTTGTTGAAATCATGTTCTTCTCGTCTTGGTTTCTGTATGAGTCACATAAGTATTTATTTGGCGTTTTTATTGTAGCGCATAGATTTCTATAGATTTTTGGAGTTGTGGAATGACTTTGTGTATTTTTCGAGTTTTTTTTCTAGATTAGATTTTTTTGGTCATTTGCTACGAGAAAACTGGTACTGTAACTCTTAAAAAAGTTAGTCGAAGGTGCAGGTCAAAGTATGCGTCTTAGCTTGAGCTTAGAGTTTATTGCTTTGTGTGCAGAATTTACGCGCTGCGGTTGGACTGTGCCTTTCACCCTCCGAGTATTATTAGCAACGTATCTGACAGAGTTTAGTTGTTTATTCGTTCGCTGCCCATCTGGGGTTAGTAGCTTGTGTAATTGCACTTTTCGTCATTAATGAATTTTGGTTTTCTGTCTTTGGCTGTGATTTTACCTGTAAGTCGTGTTTTCTACGATCCTCTACGGCTTGTTCCATCTACGCCACTATGGCTCTGCCCGCCTTTCCTCTTCTATGCGTACGACGTTACCATCCTTTCGCTCAGATTTCTATAATACTGATTACGATCAGAATTCTGCTGTCTTTGTTTGCTGATGTGTTGAGCATCTCGATCACTGGAAATGAAAATAAATGTAGCCGATCTGTTGTGGTACTCTTATTGTGCAAATTATTACCTAAGTCGTTTGTTGCACCCAGACTATGAGTGCTACGGAGTCTGTGGAAGTTGCAGTATGTATATGCAATTTGATCTTTCCAGTAAGAAACAAAGAATGGCAGAACGACTGACTGGCGGTTCAGACGACATATCAAGTGCTTTGTCAAAAGTGTATCAAGTGCTTTGTCGAAAGTGTATAGACAGTTCGGAGCCTCATGGCTAACAATTGTCCTCAATCAACTACTAAGAGTACGCCTTGCGATTGGTATACCAATAACCATTCCGATATTGAACTCGTCTCAGAAATTATATCGGAAAGTTCGCGACTTCTAGCGTGCCGCAAGGCACAAAGCGGCCCTCAAAATCTTCGCCTGACGAATCGCGGTCCTTGAAATTTCAGTCTCGCACGCCGCGGCCTTGGAATTTCAGCCTAGCACGTTGCGGCCCATGTATAGTTTACCGGGAACGCCGCGGCCAAAACTTGGGAAGAAATTATCGGGAGACTCGCGGCTCAACCACATCACTCGGCGGGCCGCGGGCCTAATCCAAGGTCGCACTTCTTAGTCGCTGTAGGTTGAGACGCAACCCACGTGGGCTACCCTAAGTGTTTGTGAGTATCGCTGGGTATCGCTTCTCGGATTTGATCCTGTCTGACAGAGTTGAATTTCTATGATTACGACTAAAGTCGTCATCGTGGAAACAGGCTAAAGATGCCTTCATACCGCGCCGGCAGCTAGTGCTCAAAGACGGCTAGCGGCGGCAGCCGGCGCGGTATGAGGGCCCTTTAAAATTCACTCTAGGCCTTACAAGCGTGCTAATCGGGTTAACTATAGGGTGCTCAAAGGCAGTGTCCAAGCACAAAGTCGATTTCGAGATTATGTGCTTACCTGGGCCTATTCGCTATGCTGAATTCGAAAATCACCACTGGAGAGCGCGAAAACAGCGAAAAAAGGCTCTAACGGAGAAGGGAAATCGCAGGTGGGCGGACTGTTCACATAGTGGTGTCACTTCCCCAGCTTCAGGAGCGATCTTCTCGCTTCCGCTAATCACACTAACATCACCACCACCCTACTGCGAAACGCATGACATAAAATCGGAACCGAGAAGATCGCTCCTAAAGCCTGGGAGAGTGACGTCGCGGTGTGAACGGTCCCGCCCACCTGCGATTTCCCTCCTCCGTTAGAGCCTTTTTTCGCCGTTTTCGCGCTCTCCAGTGGTGATTTTCGGATTCAGCATGGCGAATAGGACTGAGTAAGCACAAAATCTCAAAATCGACTTTTTGCTTGGACACTGCCTTTAACGGGCACTTACAGGATGCGCCGACGGTCACTTATCGGGTCCAATATCGGTTTGCCGGGCAGCTTCCGGCATGGATGATCGGTAGTCGGGAAGCACCCGCGAACTTCTCGATGTAATTGTCTGCGACATTGCGCATCCTCCTGGCTAATTCAACAGAATACGCAGTCTGAGACTAGCCTCCTCTAGAAGATCTTGGAGTGAACAAATATAGGTTCTGAATTTCATATAATTACGCGAAATCAGTGCGGATTTTGTGGGGAAAATGGTACGTCAAAGAGACTCGCTCCGTTCAGATGATGGAAAAACAAAAACAAAAGTAGAGGGATTTGCCTGCAGCCTTTCCGGCTGGAGACTTTCGACAAGGTGTCCCATGTAGTCATATGGTGGGCTAACACCATGTTGTCAGAGAAGTAGTTCGGTAAATAAAACTGATCTGCCAATCAACAAATAACTGACGAAAACTACTTAAAAGAGTTTCAAATCAGAGTGCACCAAGGTTGTGGCGACTAGGTGGGCTCTTGGCATCTAGATGATAACCGAGGCCTGATGCTCGCCCGATACTAAGCGACGAACCAAGTTATCCATTCTTACAGTATCACACTACACTCAAAAGAAACGAATTACTAAACTGAACAAATAACTATTGCTACTAATAATAACACGAGAAGAGGGCCCGTCCCATGTTACCGATGCGCGTCCATCTAAATAATCTCAAACAGGCCCGACCCATGTTACCAATGCGCGTCCATCTAAATAATCTCAAACAGATGTGGCTCGAGAGGGTTCGCGCAAATCCACCGCGCCCAAGGTTGTATACGACTTTTATTTACTTACATCTGAGTATCTAACAAGGGAAGTACCCCGAGTGGCCGTGGCTCTTTAATATGAGATGCATACCGTCTGAAGCAGCTTCGAACGCTGATTTCAAATCTGCTTTCCGTTTCTGCGGAACGTTCTTCTGAAGAGAGTTATGGAAGCCTGAAAATCCTATTTTGGAGGCTCCTTGAGTTTGAGAGCGCTGCTATGTGCGTTGGTGGTGCAGTGGTGTAATGGTTAGTTGTTGGCATTGAAGGCGAAAGGTCACTGGTTCGAATCCGGTGCAGAGCGAACCGTTTTGCATTATGAATGTGAGTTCAAAAAGCACTCTAATTCGTCTACAGACACTGTTGTAGGCAAATGTGACCTAAGAAAAAAAGTTTTGGCAGAACTGCTTGTAATGAGACCCTGAACTCTACTTGACTTCTTTACAAGTAAAACAGGACCAAACATGGTGAAGCATGTTCTTTACCATATAAAGCTCAAAAAATCCGAATTATCATTAATCATGTTCTCTCCTGCCTTTATGCTCACAACCCTGGTAAAGGAATTCGGCTCCTGTCCGATCACGCGCGCACCATGGAACAGAAAATAATCACTAGTTTTGCTGCTATTCTGCGAGAGGCCGAATGGCATGAATTGGACATAGAACAATTCTCAACAAGCAAACGATTCTGCCAGAAAATTTTCTCCTTAGGTCACATTTGCCTACAATACTGCCAAGTGTCTGTAGACGAATTAGAGTGCTTTTTAAACTCACATTCATAATGCAAAACGGTTCGCTCTGCACCGGATTCGAACCAGTGACCTTTCGCCTTCGGTGCCAACAACTAACCATTACACCACTGCACCACCAACGCACATAGCAGCGCTCTCAAACTCAAGGAGCGCCTCCAAAATAGGATTTTCAGGCTTCCATAACTCTCTTCAGAAGAACGTTCCGCAGAAACGGAAAGCAGATTTGAAATCAGCGTTCGAAGCTGCTTCAGACGATATGCATCTCATATCAAATGGCCACGGTCACTCGGGGTACTTCCCTTGTAAGTAAGTAAGCAGTACGATCGGAATTAAGAGTCAAGTTAATCCTAACATCCACAGAAGCTGGAGGGGACGTGCCGTCGTTTACACCTAATTCCGATCAGTACTGCGGCGCGTTTGAATGCTCTAACTAGAAGAAGTAGTTTCCCAATCCAAAAAACGTCCGACTCAGCTGCTCTTGAAAAAGGACAGAAGCATACCGCCTGAGATAATAGAACAAGAAATTTAAAATTGATGAAAAAGAAGACGGACAAGGCATCACAGTGAGGCGCCGCCCTTCATATCCGCGTGGCTGGCAACAGCCAATAAAGGAGAAGTCCGGAGACGGTCGCGGCAACATGCGTCTCAGCTACCGTAGTCATCGACGGATAGCGCGGTAAGCGATGCTCCCGGCCTGCATGCTTCGAGGAGCGCCTTGCATCGCGAGACGCGACAAAGGTGACCTCCCTCTCCTTTACATTCCATCACTGTGATTGAAGTCGTGTCAGAACGCCCTTAACTGTAAATCTTTTTTTGGACAATTCTCTGTGCAGATGATGTGTTCCTGATAAGAAGCAGCCGAAGAAAGGTGAAAATTGAGGTAGGAAGTGATAAAGCACAGCATTTCTTACGAGTACCTAGGCAGTTACGTCTCAGTCTAAGCACTCAAGAGGAAGAGGTACTAGGCGGGATGAGTATGCGTGGATGAAAAAAAGGGTCTTTAACGAATCTTCTGGGTTACAGACGAATGTCAAAGCAGCTCAAGTGTAAACTGTACTGGACCGCTGTTCGTAGAAGCAGATACGGCAGTAGGTCCCGATCATAGGAAAACGAGATGTGCAAACGGAGATGAGCAGTGAACGAAGATGCCATAAACCGGGTAGGGGAACGAAAGCTGCCAGTTTGGGCCGCCTCCGCGGACTGCTGTCTTGGAACGACATGCAACAACGGACTGCTGTCTTGGAACGACATGCAACAACAGTGCAAAAGGACCAGCTGGCCGCGAAAGACAGCTCAAACTGGCGGCCTTCGTTCCCCCACCCCCATAAACTTTTGGGTCACGTAAGGCACAACATCTCCAATGACAGTGTACGAGCCCAGTAAGTCGCTCCGATTGCTCACAAAATGCAAGAAATTTGCGGTTTCGGTTTGTGCGCAGAGGGGAGAAAAGTCACATCTCAAGGTTAGCCCGCCCTGACGAGACGCCTGGTAGATAAACCCCGGGCGCAGACCCAAAATGAGGTGGATGGACAGACTGCCAATCCGCGGAAACTTGGGTATATGATGTCTTGGATAAAACATGTGAACCCTGACACGGGCAAATCCTGGTTAAGCGGGGGTAAAGGAACGAACAGGCCATCAGGCGCCGCATCGGCGGACTGGAGGTCCTCACACGATATGCAATAGCATGCGCTAAAGTGCCAGTAAGGGTGCCTTCATACCGCGTCGGCAGCCGCCGCTGGCAGCCCGTAGCAGCCCGCAGCAGCCGCTGGCAGCCCGTAGCAGCCGCCAGCAGCCCGTAGCCGCCGCTGGCCGCCTTTGTCATAGAAGCGCAAATCATTAGTCAAATTCTTAGTCCTTTCCTGCGCCTGCCCATATTTTCCATCTTCAATGCCGATGTGATATGACTGAAGCAGAACATACCTGAAAAAATCAACAAATAGCAACCTGCAGGAACTGGACGCATCCAAAGTCAGAAGAAATCACACTGCGAAGAAACTTTGGCGAAATATGGTTCAATTGCGAGAGGGAAACTGAGCATCGATAGGATAACCAACTACGGTAACAAGATAATAACAAGAACGGACAAGGTATGTTGTTATATGAGATGAAACTGCGGCAACAGAAAGGAATAAGCGTGGAGGATGGAGGGCGTAGACGGTTGCACTTAAAATAGTAAGAAATTGATGATTTTGCGCTTGTATGACAAAAGCGGCCAGCGGCGGCTACGGGCTGCTGGCGGCTGCTGGCGGCTGCTGGCGGCTGCTGCGGGCTGCTGGCGGCTGTTACAGGCTGCCAGCGGCTGCTGCGGGCTGCTACGGGCTGCCAGCGGCTGCTACGGGCTGCCAGCGGCGGCTGCCGGCGCGGTATGAAGGCAGCCTAATCTGCATAAGTGGCTCCCAAGGACAGTATATGCTCCCTATTTGTTATGTGTGACTTCGCGGAAATTGAAAAAAAACCATTGTTGAATTTTTTCGGTTAATCAAGTATTCAACTTTCAAACAAAGATTTGAAATCACACCTAGTAATTATTCTTGTTTGCTTCAAGAGGTGTGACTCGAGCGATTCCCCCATTTCTCCTCCCTTCCTCCCCCCCCCCTCTCCCCCCTCCCTCCCCGATCTCCTAACGCACACTCTTCTGCACTCTCCCACTTCATCGTTAGGGTGATTTGCTGCAGCTGTTGCAGAGGATTGTTGTGTATGCCAATATCGTTATTCTTAACGGCTTCTCATTCACAATTAGTAGAGTGCAATACATACAAGTGTTCTCGTGGGTGGCTAAGCACCTGACGTTGAAAATGGACAGTCACCTGACTCTTTTCACATATTAGTTGGATATTAGTTCAAATAAGCAGTTATTGACTGAAATGAATGCAGCGGAAGATATGAAAATCAGCCAGATTTTAGTAGAAAACTATTGTAAATGGGAATTGACGGGGGTTAAATTTCAACATTAGGAATAATCATTGATGCAGATCAAACACTGTAACATAAATATGATCTGTGTACCTGAAAAATTTACTTTCTCACTCTCTCTCGGCTTTTGTGTCCTTTTGTGTTTATTTTTTGAAACCGTAATTTTTCGATGAATCTAATTTTCAAGTTTTTAACCAGACTGCGAAAAATCTACAGTAGGAGATAAAAATATTATTGTGCCGTGATTTACTTCTTGCTCAAAATATTTGTAGGTCATTACTGGGATCGCCGTCACGTTTCACTGTGTGAAAAGTCCATTTTTGAGCTTTGCTTGTAATTTTAGAATATGGTTAGAGCTGGTAACATACTCAAAAGCCTCATTTTGGTTTGGGGCTATTGAAAAATTGAGAATGAGTCCCTTTGAATTGGATTGAGAAGACATGCTTCCAGCAGTGGCGTACCCGAGATTTCAGTTCAAGGAGGGGAGGGGGAGACAAGTGGGCCCATTTCTCCGAAAATTTTTTACAGGGCTAAGTAGAATTTTTAAAAAATTTTGAAAATTATTTCAATCAATTACAAGTAAAAACAAATCATTTGCACATATTCAGTTTACATAGCAAAATTAGAAAATGCAACTGTTGGAATACAAATAATTTTTTTCTGAAATCAAGATTGAATTAGAATTTTTAGATCAATACATATAATTTGATGAATAGTAAACAATAATAACAGTGTTTGTTTCCTTTTTTTTCAGTGCACTGACAAATGCAGTTTATAAAGAAATAAACAATTAATAATAAATAAATAAATAAATAAATCGTATCAGAATTTCTGAATTATAGAGATACTTGCGAATAGTTCAATCCACGGAATGACCTTTACATTTGAAACGTGCTTCACTCTTCCTCAGTCTTCCTCCCCTCCCCAGACGATGCACTTCAATTTGCTTACTGGCCCTTACAATGTACTTTAAAGTGCATTGAAGAGACTATCAAACGGACGAAGATTCTGTTACCATCCATTCTTGGACTTTCAAACACGTATGGGCTACGAACAAGTGTGTCTAACAAGTTTAGACTTGTGCTTTACCTCAAGTTTGAGTGTTTTTCTGCTGGGATTCGAGGTTGTACAAGTTCGGATATGTTAAGCGACGTACTTTGATGCTTCTGGTCTAAGAATCGGTGACGAATTGCAGTTTACTCGTGCTTGCACTTACACTAAAATCCATAGTTTTTCATCCTGTGAAGGAATTTCTCCAGTCGCGCGTGCAAAGAATTCGACGAATTACTGGGTGTAGGTGGAGGAGAGGTGTTGACGTCAGCGCGCGTCTCCGAGAGCGTTGATGTGAAGATTGAGCGCGGTGTTCTGGCGGTTCGACGCGGCCTGATGAGCGCGGGTCAGCCGCGGAGAGCTCTTGACGCCGCTTGAGCCCGAGCTCGTCAACGCTGCTGCGCGCGCGCGATTAAGCCGCCGGCGGCATCACCGGCGTCGTCGTCGCCGCGTCGCCGCCGCCGTCGCGTATCGATCCTCGCCGGCGGTCGCCGTCGCCGGCGGCGGCGTCAGCGGCTGTGTCTTCCGCTACCTAATGCGAAGTCATGGGCGCGAGCAGCGGCACGCGCGAATCAACGTCGTCAGAGTCTGGGACCGCAAGGCTCGTCGCCGGCTGAGCCGCCGCCGCCGCCGCCGATGCGGCTCGGCCCTCCCGGCCAACTGCCGCCACCATCTCCAATTAATAAAATCTATTCCTCAGTGCTTCACTCTAAGCTCTCCAGTGTGCGCTCCACCCCCGGGGTACTCGATGTCTGATCCGCGTTCGATACACCTGCTTCCTGGAGACTTCGCTCTCCGACTCGAGCGCTTAGCGAGCCCCATGGGAGCGCGATGCGCACAATTGCAAGCTGATTGCCTTGTCATCGCTAAGCATTTTTGCATTTTTGCAGTTGTTGGGCAGTGTTCTTTGCGCCAACTCTGACGAACCCCCTATTAGTCCATGTTTGGATATTGAGCTGTACCAACTGAATATTTCGTAAGCCCTCTTCATAAATGTGAAAAGCTGGGCACAAACAATCCCAGCGCTCATACTCAACACAAATTCATTTTTTCGTCCAAGCGAAAAACCGAATGAATAATACATTTTTGTTTTTCTCCCTTTTTCTTGAGTTTGCGTGTTATATTAAATTAGGTTGTCCCGAAAAATTTTTTTTCATGGCTCACCAAAACTCACAGGACACCAATCCATGAATGACCTAGGTGCCATCTATTCAGATTTTTGTCCTTTTTCTTACAGCTATATTTTCTCTGATCTACCCCGTCTTTGCGAGTTATCGCCATGGCTTTTTGAGCACCTCAGCAGTAACGCCAAACCTTTCCTGAATATAAAATTTTTTTTATCATGATGTTCTTGGAGAGCGCTAGTGACCCTTATGTGGAGCAAACCTTTGGCTACGTTGTACCAATTTTAGTTTACCTGGGTCACGTTTATCATGTCCGTAATAATTATTTATTTAGGAAAAACCGCGGTTTTTCAAATACGTTTACCACATAAGATTACCGAAAATTCCAGAAAGCTGCTTGTTCAAAGCAAATCAAACTTGATTATGTTGCATAAATAATGTTTAATAAGAATCATGTTCCATTTCGCAGAAACTTCAAAAGCTGTCATGTTATTGCTGCAGTTGCGGGTTTCATGATTTTGCCAAAAATCAAGGCTTCCGAATAAATAATTTTTTAAAGGTAAAAACAGCAGATTAGGAGAATCTAAAAATCTCACCATAAAGTACTAGAATTGCTCTATTTGCGCCGTAATAAACGCTTTCCGAAACTTCGGAATGAAATTTTTGAAAATTAGCCTAACTTTGAGCAGATAAAAATGGCGCTTGAAGAATTGTGGCAATTAGCGAGAAAAGCACACAGGATTGTGGTTCGAAAATGTAATCTCAAGAAAGAGAAGGAAAAGCTGCATCAAATGCATCTTGAAAATCTTTCGGATCTTTATTGTGCGTAGTTTTATAGTGGTTTGAAAAGACCGACAAAATTTCCGGGACAACCTAATATTATCTTTTCGAAACATTTCCTATTCTTTCTGTTTCGTTCCGGAAATTTCCGTTTCACTAAATCTAAATGTTACTTCCTCGTTTACACTGGAACTGATCTCGCGTTAGAGGTTGATCAACTATTTGATTTCATACGGCTATGGATGAAAAATATAGGACATTTTTGTTTTCCTTCTCTTTCTGATTTTTTAATTATTATCGATCATTGAGCTATCGTTTTCTTTGCGTTTATGTTTTCTATTTTTATTATATGTTCTATTGATCTTGTTCTATTCAATCTGTATATTGTTTCTAATTTTGCTCATATCATTGATATAATCGCTCCGTCTTTTGTTGATGCTTATTTTTTTATTCAAAAATTTATTCTTGCGCTGTAATTCAGTATTCATCCAGTTTATCATCATGTTATCTGCGCCGCTTCATACACCCAGTTAGTCAGTGATGATCAATCATTCAATCATTTGACTCATCCATTTGACTAACTATTTATTGAAATATGTTCAATGATTTTTTGATCTTCAATTTTTTGATCTGGTTGCGATGTGTACCTGCAAAAAGCAAGATCTCGCTGAACATGTTTTTCCAAAATTTTTTACTTTTTTATATTTCGTGCGTTAATTTCGAAACTGACTTTTGAGATGACTTTAATTTCCATTTTTTTATTCTACAAACTTTCTAGTAAATATTTTTATATTTGCGAGGGCTGAGCCTATTTATAGCTCTTTTGAAATTTGCGACGTGGCATGTATGTCATCTGATTGCTATGTAACCCATTCCTCATGCACGCTTCAAATGTAATATAGCCAGATTTTTCTAGAATTTCCACGTCATTTTGAATACATAAATATCTCGTGACCACCTAATTCTGAGCTTTCATGTGCCTATGCTTCTAAATTATTTTCTTCTGTCTTGCGCTGTTGCTGCGCGACATGGCTTTGAGGGCTGTGAGTAAGAAACTCAAATTTGCTTACATTATTCGATAATTACTCTAGAGTTATATGTTCTCGGCTTTTCTTTTCCCAGAATGTTTGAGGTCTTCATAGTTCATCTTTGAAATTTTCTCGCAAAACCTATCAAAAAGATTTATTTTGCAAACATAATATTCATTTTGCGCCTCTTATTGTTAGAGGCTATTCGCGCATGAAGACTGTTGGTTTATAGTTTGCAAAGCGGCTGCTGGCCCGGCGACTTAACACCTAATATCGCTGGAGCACATGAGATGGGCACATACCTTTGATTGCCGGCGAGTCGCTTCGCGTGCGCTTACCTCACTAGCGCATCTGCCTTCATCCGAAATCAACTGTCTAAACGGTTGAGCAGCTTTCTTTTCGATGTGTGCAGTTGCAGATTTTTCAGTAATGGCGATGGGAATAAATATTTTCCAAACGAAAATGTGCAATTGCACAGAATAGCAGAGAAACCCGCTCGACTCTATTTTCGCTCGTACTTTATTTATTATTTATTTCTTTATTCCGATTATCATTTTTACCTGATTTTGGTTGTAAGCAAAATTTACTCTCCCCCCTCCCCTCCCCTCCCCCCCCCCCCCCGGATTTGTGAACACATCATACATCAATAACTATAAAAACTCTGTGGTTAGATTGCAGCTTTTCCAAAAAGTAGATTCGGCTTATTTTCTAAAGTTCGGCAATCAGTCGGCTTGGCAATGCAGCGCCAATTTGCTGCACTTTTTGCGTGCTCTAGGAAATTTTTGAGCAAGCAGAGGGACAAATTCTCGACTAGTCTGATGAACGGACAGAGGAAGTTCCTTTATCTAGTAATGTTTTGAAATTGTTGAATAATTAGACAAATGATTGAAAATGGCCTAAGACTCTGTTTGTTAGTGACGTTTTTACATTATTTCTTTCAAACTTTTCCTTTTCATTTTTATTTGGCTATTAGTAGTTTTCACATTGATCGGATAATTTTTTCCTCGCAACGATGCATTGTTCGAGAAATTTCCTCGCACTCAACTCACCACTATTGTTGACATTTCCTTTGTAGTGTTGACTTGTGGACTTGAGAGCATTAGCTCACTGTTTTCATTGTCACTCACTCTGTCATTTATCCGCGGTAATGATTCATCTAAAACGTTTTGCTGTTGTTGCAAAGCTAGTTTTGGAATTTTTGGAAAATTTAGCCATTTATATAGGTAACAAAGCTTGTCATTGCTGCCATTTTCGGTTTTCCAATGGGTAGAAAAAGTTGTGATGGGCTAATTTTGAGTCGCAATACCATATGTTACGAGTCTCGGGTAGAGTAAAAAAGAAATGTAACGGTTGGCGCATTTTCCTAAAATAACATATTTTATGAGTTTTTCCCATATTATTTCATCGTAACTGTTTTGACACTGGTATTATAAGTCGCTTAAACAATGTATACCACGCTTCAAGCAAAAATCGTTTTTTTGCTGTTTGCCTTCATTATTTCTTTCCTTTTTCCTCAGAATTATTTTACTTTTGTTCTCCGAGACCACTGTTTTTATCTTCTTTTCCTTTTACCTCCATGTCTAGGTATTTTTAATTTCTTTGTGATTACCAAAGATTGTATTCTACGAAGTGCTCATTTAGGACCAGGGCTCGGCACGAGTTGGCTAGTTGAAAATGCAAAAAACGAAGTCTCCCTTGACTTTTGCAATTTTTACGAAGTCCTCTTTGTTCCTAGACTATAATCCAAAAAACACCAAAAAACGAAACGACCAAAAAAAACGTCGCAAAATTTTGTGCATTTTCGGCCAAAAAACGAAACCTTTTTGCTTTTTGTCCCAAAAACTATATCCAGCTTGCTTATAAGCCACCTGTGCTCAGCGTTTGGGACCATCAAGGTTGTGAATTATATGGTCTCAACTATCTGAGCCGGTAGCCGCCATTCATATTGACCCTAATGTTCCTTGCATGCAATATCCATCTGTTGATGTGGTGTTCCCGCGGTGTCAACGTCACTTGCGCGTCAAAAAAGGCCAAGCGGTGCAAAACTCAAAATTGTGCGCTCACTACGCACACATCACATGGGCACTATATTACATCACGCTATAATAATAGAAATGTAAATAGATAGGAGTTTCGTATTACATTATGGAAATGTATGCCTCATATATGAAAAATGAATTTCACCATCGAAAAATAAAATTTATTCTAGCGCAGAGTTGCCTGTTCCCTTAGACGAAGTACAGAATGTGCGGGCTTTCCGTCAGTTGTAATTTCATTCTGTAAATGAACATTTTCATTGAAATATCGAAAATGCTTTCATTCTGCGTTGTTAACCAAATTTTCTGATTTAAATAATTCCAGAAGTCACAGCGTGCTTACAGACTAGTTCCTGAAATCAATCAAGGTACAACAGAACATTTACTCAGCCCCTTCACTCTTCTCTGTTTATCTGACCTATCGATGATATCCGAACTTGTTACTGGTTCTTTTCTCTAATTGATTTCCCGGCGCGTTCTTCAGTCATTTCGATTCGGGGACTAGCAAGCCTTCCGCGTTTTTTCCCGCGGACGCTAAGGAAATTTTCCAGAGGTCGTTCTATGCGGTTGGCGTATGGGAAATTGTTGCTGCGGTCAGCGGCCGACCAACGACTCACCGCCTTCTCTGTCGCAATTTTCCATTATTCGAAGCATAGGTCGAGGAGCTTTTGGCAAGGTCTGGTCGTTTATCAATTTATTAATTTATTGATCACTTACAGATTGTTGAATATGTTTTCCAGGTTTGTATTGTACAACAACGTTCCAGCAAGAAATATTTTGCGCTTAAATACATGAGCAAAAGACGCTGCATAGATAAAGTAAGTAATTTTTTTACATTTATTTTGTTTGTTTATGTGATTATTTATTTTGTTTGTAATTATAGGGCGTGGCCGGAAACGTATTACGTGAGCTGAGCCTGCTGCGGAAGATATCTCACCCGTTTATTGTGAATCTATGGTATACATTCCAGGTGAGTGAAAATTATTTGCAAAAGTACATATATTATAGTAAAAAAAATGTACATATTATAATAAAAAAAATTATCTTCAAGAGACTGAAGCTGCGTCTAGAGTTGCTCGAACCAGAGCTTTGCTAGCGCCGTGCCAACGCCGTGTCGGAATGCCGATCGATCGTACGGAACGTGTTCGCGTCATTTCCAGCACGGCACCGGCACAGGGCGCTGGCACCAGCTACGGACGTGCCTACATTTTCTGATTTCCCTCCAATAATGTTGCTAACTTCTTTTCACTTTGGAAAATATCACATTCACTTTTTTGAGGTTTTACAGTCCATTCTAGGATCGCGATTATATGTACATGGTTACGGATCTATTGCTTGGCGGTGACCTGCGATATCATCTCAATCAGCAGGGAAAGTTCGCCGAAGATAGGTAAGCCTTCTTTTGGAACATAATTTAGATTATGTGGAGATACTGTAGATCATTCAGATCGAAATTGTACATGTGCGAAATTTCGTTAGCTATTGATTATCTTCACGGGAAAGGTATCATGCACAGGGATATCAAACCAGAGAATATTCTGCTAGATGAACAAGGTTCTTGTCTTTTTTTTTGTCTCAAAAAATGGATTAAGCTAAGCTATAGTTTTAGGCCATGCCCATTTAACCGACCTCAATCTTGCTACTCAACTTGAAGAGAACAAGCTTGCTACCTCATACTCAGGTATGTGAGATTTTTGTTTGACTGGTTGCTATAATTTTTCTGCAATTCATAATGAATTTTAATTAGACACCTTGGATTGAGTCCTTCATAGTCAAATAAGCAAGAAACATCACATTTAGCATGCCATCGAATTTCATTTTAGCGCAAATTTGTGTCAAAAATTAGGCCCAGTATAATTTATTTGAGCAGTAAAGAAAGAGCTCCCACAATGGTCGGTCGCCTCATCGTGGCGTGGGGGTGACACTGGGTGTCGAACTGCGATGCACAGCCGAGTGTATACTCTGGCAGGGCCTCCCAAGCTGTGAAGGAGTTCGACGTTTCCGGTTTCGGCCGGATGCCTAGCTAAGAACTGGCCGCGCCAGATTCTCCGCCGTCTGGCTTCTTCTGGTCGCTAGGCGGTCCCTCCCCGCTCCAAGCCCGGGGTCAGCGATCACCCCGTGGAAATCAAGAGTAGGCCTAGTAAGCCACCTCTTGTAGGGGAACAAATTTTATTACTCAGACAGCAAGAAGATTTAGAAAAAACCCTGTACATCGGATCCCGCCTACGGCGCCGGGTGGTAGCAAGAACGATGTCAGGGTACTCAGGGCGCCTTTCGGATTGGACAAAAACGACACGTCTGCCCGGACGACACGCCATGGAGACTGCCTCATGCTCTGCACTTACAACGCCAGGACAGTCTCCACAAACGCCGACCTCCACGTTCTTCTCGACGCTGCAGAGCACATCAACTACCACATCATTGCTCTGCAGGAAACGAAGTCCAGGAAGAAGGACGTGCGACAGATGAGTGATGGGACCCTCATCATTCGTGGTGAAAAGGTTCCATCACGAAACGTGGGAGGCGTCGGCTTTGTCGTCCACCCATCTATCGTCCATCTTGTCGATTCGCACGAGATCCTATCACCTCGACTAGGCATCCTACGACTACGACCTCCACATCAGAAGACCATCAGCATCATCAACTGCTATTCTCCAACATCAGCAGCTGACGAATCAGAACTAGATGCTTTCTACGAAGATGTGGAGGAGGTCGTCCACAACGAGAAGTCCTTTTACAAGTTTGTTGTGGGCGACTTCAACGCGAAAATCGGGATGCCACTGGAAAGGGAATATAGGATCGGGAAGTTTGGATATGGGCTCCTGAACGAAAACGGCAACCGTCTTGTTGGGCTTCTCTCCGCCGCACGACTTTTCCATGGAAATTCCATCTTTATGAAGAAGGAACATCGCCGGTGGACATGGGAATCGCCCAACGGAACGACCCACGCGGAGATCGACCACATTCTCACCAACCGAAGGTGGAGCTTACTCAATGTCTCTGTAGTTCCATCCTTCTGTAGTGGCTCCGATCACCGCCTCCTTCGAGCGAAGATACGACTCAGCCGAAGGCTGAAAAAGAAAGTCTGTCATAGTGCCGCGAGAAGGAAGGAAGTCGTTTATGACGGTAACAGGCTGGAAGAGCTCATATCAAGTTGTGACTGGCCCATCGAGGAGGACACAACGTACGACTACGACCGGCTTCTGAAAGGATTGCGAGCCTGCGGTGAATGCGCCTCAGTGACTTCTGAGAAGAACTTGGACCGCATCTCGAAGACCACCAAGGAATTGCTCGAAAGAAGAAGATCGTTGAGGCAGGATCCGAATGCAACTCATCTCGAGCGACTAATTGCCAACACCAGTTGCAGAACAGCTTTGCAAGAGGATCTCAGGAAGTACAGGCAAGCCAAGATACTGGAAGCAGCAGAAAGAAGACGAAGTCTCAAGAAGTGCCGAAGGGACCTCTGCGAATATCACGTACCGCTGGCTGCACTACTGAACGAAGACGGGACTCCGACTTCTTCCCGATACAAGATGGAATCTATCGCGAAGAACTTCTACACCAACCTCTTCCGCTCATCAACACCCGTGCAGATGCCCGTTGTTCCCACTGGAGAAGTACCACCACGAATTCTACCTGCTGAAGTGCGTATCGCGATACAGACCATGAAGACGTCCACGGCTCCAGGACCAGATCATCTTTCCGTCGAACTTCTGCGAGCCGGAGGACACCGTCTACACGAGATTCTAGCGTCGCATTTGACATCTTACCTTCAGAAGGAGAAGATTCCCGACCAGTGGAGAACGTCAAGAACCGTCCTTCTCTTCAAGAAGGGTGAACGGGAGGATCTTCGGAACTATCGTCCAATATGCTTGCTGAGTGTGCTGTACAAGCTTTTCACGAAGATTATCCTCGCTCGCATATCAAGGACACTGGATGAAGCCCAACCCCAAGAACAAGCTGGATTTCGCAAAGGATTCAGCTGCATGGACCACATCCAGACCGTTTCGAGGGTCATAGAAGTCTGCCGGGAATACCGACTGCCTCTCGTCCTAACCTTTGTCGACTACGAGAAAGCCTTTGACAGCGTCGAAACCAACGCCATCCTGTCTGCGCTAGTCGATCAAGGAGTGGACCCAGCTCTTACGTGAGGACACTAGCCGACTGCTACAAGGACTGTACAACGACGATGCAGCTATTCCATCGCCCCCTGACCATACCAATCGGGAAGGGGGTCCGACAAGGCGACACAATCTCGCCGAAGCTGTTCACCGCGGCCTTGCAGTGGGTGATGAAGTCACTGGACTGGGACGAGAGAGGCATACGAGTTGATGGGAGATTCCTGTCCAACCTTCGTTTTGCGGACGACATCGTTCTCTTCTCGAGCAGTATCACCGAAGCAGAGACGATGCTGAAGGAACTAAACGAAGTAGGGAAGAAGATCGGACTGCGAATAAATCGGAAGAAGACTCAGTTCATGAAGAACGCCCTTTGCGAAGATGCAGAAATGGAATTGGAAGGCACCCCGATTATGGAGACGTCTTCCTACGTGTATCTCGGGCGTTCGATGAACATGGAGAACGACTTGAGGGAAGAACTCAACAGGAGAAGAAGAGCAGCCTGGGCCGCCTTCGGGCCCCTGAAGGAAGCCACCGACCAACTGACGGACCCGGAGCTTCGTGCCCACCTGTTCGACTCAACCGTTCTCCCGGCGCTCTGTTACGCAGCTGAGACTTGGGCCGACACTGTAGCCACGTCGAAAGCTCTACGGACCACCCACAGAGCGCTCGAGCGCAGTCTTCTGAAGATGACCCGACGCAAGCAACATCTAGTCGGACTTCGCAGCACGGATATGAGAAGAATGTCCCGTCTTCGTGACCCAGCGGAATACGTCGCGAAAGCCAAACACCGATGGGCCGGTCACATAATGAGAAGAACAGACGACAGATGGACACTAAGAACATCGGAGTGGATTCCTCGCGAAGCCAAACGTCCCCGAGGAAGACCTCCAACGAGATGGGCAGACGTGTTCGTGGAACGGATGGACCAGCTGAGAAATCAGCTGGATACGATTTTTGCACCTGGAACTCGTGGACGCAGCCACCCACGTCAGCCAAGAAGATCGTGGATGTCAGAAGCGAGGGACAGGGAAAAATGGAAACTTCTGAGCTGGGGCCCGCACGTCACGTGAAGCCGGGCCATCTAAGTATCTAAGTAAGTAAGTAAGTAAAGAAAGAGTGTAATGAGAACGTTTACTTAATGGATTTACTCGCACTTTGTTCTGTTAGCCGAGGACTAGATTCAACCAATCTGAATGAGTATCTATTATTTGTCAGTAACTAGTGGGCAAAATTTTTTCTAAAAAGTGAGGGCAAGAAATTTTTCGTCGAATGGAAGTGTGTGACATTCATGCTTTACAAAAATAAATTTTTTTGGGACAGTTTTTCCGCACACTAACTTGACTTCACCTATTTTTTGTCAAATTTGATTTGAAGGCAGAGGAAAATACTTCATTGCATTTATAACTTATCTAAGAGACTTGAAAAAACTTCGAGAAAGCGATCCATTCCCGAGTAACTACCCTCCCTTTCATCCACAGTTACTAACTGATAAATAATGCAAAATCGGAAGTTGATTTCAAGTTTCAGATGTCCGAAAGAATTATCGAATTATGCGAGAACAATCGATAATCGATTAGTTTCTTATGAACACTATCAAATTTGCAAAGTTCTTGGAAATGCTGTGGAATACTTTAAGACCCAAAACAATTTGTTTTCTTCTTTTGCGAATGACACGCAGATTTTAGGAACCCGACCCTACATGGCGCCTGAAGTCTATGCATGTGCTCTGGGTTTGATTGATGGCTACGATCTGAGAGTGGATTGGTGGTCGTTAGGAGTAACATTTTATGAAATGATGCGTGGTAGGACACCTTACGAATTTAGCCCTCATTTTACTGCCGAACAGGTGAGAATATAGATGAATTCCTTAATTAGCAAGATGTCAAATATTTTGCTATTATTGTAGGTTTTGCTATTGATACGCGAGAGTTATGTGCCATTTCCGGCTCATTGGCCATCAGATCTATTGAGCTTTCTACGACTTTTGCTTCATCCTTCACCTGATGGTAGAATAGACTCGTTAACTGCTATTAAACGGCATCCTTACACTGCTCGTATAGACTTTGCCAGCGTTCTTGCCAGGTTTGAAAAATTCAGAGTGAGTTATTGCTACAAATTTCGAAATTTTAGACGTGCTGCCCCAGTATTTGTGCCTTGTAATGAGGGTCTCAATTGTGACCCCATGTATGAATTAGAGGAACGTATTATTGCTTCTACTCCCATTCATCGACGGCGCCATGATAGAAATAATAGAAGGCGATATGATGAAACTGACGCACTTAGGGAGATCTCAGAGGCAAGTTCAATTTCATTTCATTTTTCAAGTAGTAACGTAAGTTTGATTACACGTGGGGGAAAAATCTTTCTATCTTTCTTAAATTTTTTGAACTTTGAGATTACGCGAAGGTTGCATTTTTGGTGTCTCACAAAGAATTTAATTGCAGCTTTCGAATTTTTCGAAATGATGAACTACCTAAAAAATTACTCAAGGGACTACAGGGTGCGCTGAAATTATCTGCGCCTACTTTGCATCAGTGCCAAACTGAAACTAACTGGACTTTTGTTTTCAAAATTATGCCATAGAATGCTGCCATCCTCTACAATACATTTTCCATGAGCCAAGGTGACTACCATACCTACTCGCAAAAATTGGAAATGTCGAACTTGGTACTTATACAGAGCGAAAATCCAGTTTTTTGATATTTATGTTTCATTCCGTAGCTGGGGATTCTGTTGCAAAGAAATTTCTTCGAAATTGGCAAACAAATTTTTGCGAAGGTCACCCGCGTCTCATTAGCCGTTTCATCTTTGAATCACATTTTTAAGGTATAGAAGGCGCTATCACCGGTTGCAAAGCTAATGCCTTCATAAAGTTGCTAGGTAACAACTTAGTTCTACTCGACTGCCAAATTTAGTTTCAAGCCGATTCGGAAGCAATTCTCTATTTTTCTTTCGTGCATTTGTGCCCCAGATTTGTACACTTTAGCATGCTGCATTTGGTTGAATTGTGATAGGTGTCTTGTCAACAATTCCCGAACTTTCATTTTGTATTGGGGTTGTTTCAAAGTTCTTCCTTTTTGTACCTTTTTTGAAATGCTGATTTTGGAGGGAAAAGCCATTTTCAAGAATATTGCTCTTATCGTTAAAAAGCTCTTTTCTTCCATTTTCTTCATTACTTTCGTTTTCTTAGTTTGTTCATTCTGTGTTCCTTACAATGAAAAGACAGCAAAACAAATGTGCAGAATTTTGAGTTCAAACATGACCTGTCCTTGTAGTCCTTAAAGGCAGTGTCCAAGCAAAAAGTCGATTTTGAGATTTTGTGCTTATACGGGCCTATTCGCCATGCTGAATCCGAAAATCAACACTGAAAAGCGCGAAAATGGCGAAAAAGGCTCTAACGGAGGAGGGAAATTGCAGGTGGGCGGGGCCGTTCACACCGTGACGTCACCCTTCCAGGCTTTAGGAGCAATCTTCTCAATTCCGATTTTATGTCATGCGTTTCGCAGTTGGCTGGAGGTGATGTTAGCACGACTAGCGGAAGCGAGAAGATCGCTCCTGAAGCTGGGAGAGTGACGCCACTATGTGGACAGCCCCGCCCACCTGCAATTTCCCTCCTCCGTTAGGGCCTTTTTTCGCCGTTTTCGCGCTTTTCAGTGTTGATTTTCGGATTCAGCATGGCGAATAGGCCCGTATAAGCACAAAATCTCAAAATCGAGTTTTTGCCCGGACACTGCCTCTAAGTGCATAAAAATCGTTAGGACATTTCTAACTCGGAACTTTTGCTCAGTGTCGTGAATTGGGGTTCCCAGCTCTAGCCGTCAGTGGTATAGAGCTCCTCTGCATTGGCGAAACGAGCTGAGGGCGCCATTTGGGAGATGAGGTAACGGCACGTGGGGCAAGGTAGCGTGCTTGCGCCAAGCTTTTATGGCTCAAATCACAAATACACTGGATGAGTTAGAGGCCTTAGGCTACCAACCTATTTCCTAATTCCTAAGCCGTTTATATCAAGGTGCTCTTAATGCAGTTGACAATTGTGTATCATTTGTAACTTGGACAATCAGTTAGTTCGTGACAATCCTCCATCTGATGGAAGCCTTTTATCTCTTGGGCTCCTCTTGCACAAGTTTGATAAGGGAAATACACGCTCAAATGATTATGACGCATCCTGTGTACCCCCGCCATTCCTTCCAATCCTGTACAAAGAGAATTTTGTGCACGAACAATTACTTATAGGCGTTCATAGAATATTCTCGGCCGGAAGCGCTTGCGAATGGGACACCAGCATCGCGAAGGTGACCGGACCAGCCGCAACTGTTATATTTCTAGCTCACATACTCAAAACATTTCAAAATTATGATTCGGTCCTCAGTTGTTGAGTAATATCATTATGTTGGTGCTGTATGATGTATTGCTGACATATTGCGCTCATTTTGTGCTCTTCTATGCTGACAATGCTAATCACCAGACAGTGTATTCAGTATGAGACATTTATTTGGCAATTTTCACTCAACCAACTTCTCTTGATCATAGATCGATATTATATTTCATGGTTTATCTGTTGAAGTTCAAGCATTTTACAGACAATGGACAGCTGCGCCACTCAGGTGGTCATCTATTTAGGCTTGGGTCGTATACGGCCGCCTCGCTTGGACTCTGAGCCCATCTTGCTATGTAGCCTGTGAGCTTACACGACTGAGTCATATAAAGGCTGACGGGTGTGGGAAAATGTTCAAAGATTAGACAAGTTTGCGACGCAGGGTTCAAGCGATGCGGCCGCGCGGATCCCGACTGCACCACCTGGTGACACTGTCATTGAGAAGGGTCCACCGCTGCAATGGACGCAGCTGAACCGTTGCCTGTCTTGGATGACTCACCTTGATCGTGGACCAATGCTGGGTTTAAATTGTATATTTTCTCTATTTGATATGGTGTTCCATTGTTGACTAAAGACTATAAAGAACAACACACTCAACACCTGTTATTACTCCTACATCACAACACATCGTAGAATAATTTGACGGTTTGCTGACAATCCCGTCATACGGTGTGTACACTGAATTCTTTTAGATGCCGAGACGCTGTCCAAATGCTAAACGCGATGTATCCAGGTTTTGTCACTTGATTGGTATCGAATCTCTACGATCACAGACGATATTTACAGTTGAGTAGATTGCCTGGTAAATATAGTGCACCTGCAGAAGCGGCAGCACCTGTCCGTGGACAACCGCATTAGAGCGAAAGTTTCGGATAATCAGTGTTTTCTTTGCTCGTTCTTCAGGTGGGCTAAATCACCCATGGTGAAGGTAAGCTAACAAGCAGCTTATGTTGTTTTAACCAGTCATATCGTCGTGTGTGTGCAGGTGTAGCTCCTGCAAGCCGATCGCATGAGTTTGTAATGTCACCCTTTCCTTCATTGCTTTTTTTTTCATTAAAAAACGTTTCTTTACCAACTTAGTCGGTTCCTCTAAAGTCAAAGTACTCACTAACAGTCGTTCTTTGACCCAAACGTAACATCGTCTCACATCAGTCATTCATTTGATTAGAGAACTTCGAATAGGATGAAGAAACCTATAAGTGTTCAAAGAAAGCTTTTTGTTAGAAAAGAGTTGAAAGAAAGGGTCAGGCCAAAAACACGTGTGCGATGCAGCTTTCCAGGGATTCACCTGAACTTAAACGACGATTTGACTGATCAAAACAACAAACGCTGCTTTTCAATTTATCTTTTGCTCCTAATCGATCAAAGCATACTTGAAAAATGAATAAGCAAAGAAAACACTGGAATTACCTGGAAATTCTCTGTCTGTGACAATTGTTCGCTCAAGTGCTGATGCCTTTGCAGGCGCACTATATTTACCGGGAAATTTACAGGCGTAGTTTTATTACAGTATTAATTGGCATCTCGGCTCCCACCGCCTCACTTAGGGCCCATCGCAGCTAGAACCGGATCAAGGTGGATGTTGTTATGGGAGAAAAAGCAAAGGAGACATTGTTTTTGGGTGGTCGAGGTGGAGCCCCGGAAAAAATTGTTCAGAATTACACCGGAGTTCATAGGGGACCCTATTTATATCTTCTAAGATTGCGCACGGCTCAAGAAGTCGAAAGTATGCCCCAGAAACTTCGTTTACTGCTTCCATCCTTGAATGTCGAGATGCAGTTGTCAGAGAATGGTTGGAGAACTAGATGGTATCGAAAGACCAGCAGCAAGACATCCTGATACACTGTCTTTTAGCGCACTCCGGCAACTTGCGGGGGCGGGCGTTAGGTACCCAGCCGAGATGCAGGCGTTAGGTACCCAGCCATCAGTGGTATACACTAAGCCACGCCCCTTGGTCGCTTCAGCAGCGGGTACCTAACCATACACAGAATCGTAACTGCTAAAACAGCTCACCTAGCTTGCGAAAGTGCTGGCACTTGTGCTGCACCCACAGAATAGAGAGAGTTTGAGGAAATCAAAAGAAAAAAGCGCGAATGAGAGCGCAAGTTTGTATGCAGCGTTTTTCTATTGCCTCTTTTTTTAATTTAAGAAGCTTTTATGAGCACTTCACATAGTTCAAGAAAAAAATGTGATAATCGGATCTAATCGATAATGTCAGCAATTTCAAAAAGTAAACTTTGTAGAATTCCAGATACTCCTGGCATTTAGATGCGAGAAATAATCCTTTGTTCCAAAAAACTGCTTCAAATACATTTTTTGACTATAAGTGGAACCGATTGGAAGAAGAGCTTCCACGAGAAATTGTCATCAAAAATCGGAACTTTATAGTCTATGTGACCCATAATTTATGGAAAGGCACTAGCTCTGTACCATATCAGTGAAAGTTTTGCATCACAGAGCGATTTCGCAGTTATTTTTGATGCAGTGTGTGCCGATAGAATGAAACAGGAAAAAGCATCAAACTCTACTGGGAGTAATTTTTACAATATCTTTCGCTTTTTAGTGAGCTACAAAAAAAAATCATAACTTCGGTTGGCCAAATTGATCATATTTTGTTGCTAGAAAAGAGGATGAATATGAATTTATGATCCTCCAAAAAGGCATTACAGAGAACATTTACATGATTAAATAAGTACTTCAATGAAACTTTTATATGAGATGCGAAATCTTCCGAAATTCAAAAGAAAAAAATGAATGCGCTTATCATACTGTTCCATAAATCTGCTGGCCTCAGCAATGACCTAAGTAATACCCTTAATAATCGAGGATAATGTAGTTCACAATCCATGTGGCAATATTAACGCGACTATAACTTCACACCCCGAAACGAGGCCGACGACAATTTGTGAAAAAATATTCCTTAAACTTATTTGCCAGGAACATCTCCGAAAGTGCGCTTTGCTTCATAAAAATCATAAAATTTTGGTTCATTGGAATTCTACAAGTTCACTTCTTTGATTGCTTATGTGAAGTGCTTATAGAAGCTTTACCCTTTTTCAACTTTCATCACCGAATATCTGTGATTCTAGAATGATTTTGAAAAAAGAAGCTATAGAGAACATTGCATACAAACTTGCGCTTTCATTCGCGCTTTTTCTTTTGATTTTCTCAAACTCTTTCTTTTCTGGGGGTCGCAAGCACCAGCGCTTTCGCAAGCGAGGTGAGCTGTATCAGCAGGTGGGATTCGGTGTATCGTTAGGAACCTGCTCCTGAAGCAACCAAGGGGCGTGGCTTAGTGTATAAGACTAATGGCCGGGTACCTAACGCCCGCACCTTGGTGCTGGGTACCTAACGCCACGCACCCGCAACTTGCAAATCGGTCGTTGGGAATATGTTCACAACAGCTGTGAAAGTCTCTTCTGACGCACAACAAAAGACTTACTCTATGGCGATATAGCTGACAGAGTAGTTCGATCTCACGTTCACAAAACCTTTGGGCATACTTAAACAAAACGTTGCCGAGGCCGGGACAATGTGAGGCTTTTTAGCCCTTAAAATTTTCTTGGTGACGAGTCCTGCTCCATCGCAAAGGACGTTCCTAAGTAAGCCAACGCAACTTAGATATGTTTACAGACGCGCGGTGTTCACCATGCTTGCTGCAGCTTATATTCGTTCGCAGGGAAGAATTTTTGAAATTCTTGTTGAACTGTTGGTTTTTTCAAATTCAATTTAGGGTTGAGAGACACACAGATGCAAAAAAACTTAAGAAATAGTGAGCAGGCTTTCGAAAGGTCAGAGGAACTTCGTCAAATTTTGCGAAATAAAAGGGCAATGCTTCAGAAAGATCTTGGTACTTTCCTAGCCTTGGCCTCACTGCATCCTGTTGTCTATCGGATGAAATCGAGCTTTATCACTCTGACCACGGGAAAGTTGTTTGGTCAGATCCTATTACCTTCCTTTCATACCGATTCGTCGCGAAAAGTAGTCTGTAGTAAGCGTCGTGATGGCTTTCACGGAAATTAAGGCGGACATATATTGAACAAATTAAAATATTCATAGACTTTGAGCTTTATATATGCACGGATACACACTCGCTCACTACAGATTATTAGATGAATTGCCTCATGAAAATTTGACAGCGAAAAAGGCAGACAGTTAACGGTTCAAGATAATTAGCAAAATATTGATATTTTCCAACACAACTTATGCTTGAAGACAACATCTAAATCCATACCGTTTCCATAGTGCTAAATATGAGCAAGTTGCATGAAGAAATAACATGCTTAGCCTCAAATTATGAGGAAGAAAAATTGTACAAGACATCTCTACATAAGTGAGAGTAATTGCTAATTATAAACAAACTTTCAATACTTGTAAAATGTTTGAGAAAGATATCATGCTTGGAGACCAAATTCAACCTTTTTATTCTGATGATCTCGCTGAGACGAGCTGGTTTGATACACAAGAGGCCAATTGGAATGATCTCAACACCACCAAATCTTCTACCGCTTTCTTAAATAGTCTTCTTCGAAGGAAATGAATTCAACAAAGACGGTATTTGTTGCGAGGGTGGCGGTAGTCGTTGGAAAAGCTGCTTCAGGAAGCGCAGTCCAGATTAATGCTTTCCAATTGCCTTTTCAACGATCTAAAAAATTTCATTATCCACAAACGATATGTAAAATGAGTTTCCTAGCTTGTGTTTTAAGTGCAAGTGTGCATGGTAAGTACTGATCAACTGCTTAGTAAATATGATGTGCTTTCATTGCTTGAATTCCTTCAACGATCGAAACTGCATACGGGTTGAGTAAGTGATCAGTTGCTTTTACGGCATAATCTCGGAAAGAAGGAATTGCAACAGACATGTTAAAGTGGGACAGAAAGATTTCTAACTGGTACGACAGGAATCAGAGACTGTTAGATTCACCAACTAGCAGAACCCATGGACCGGGAAATAAGATCATTCTAGTAAAAAAGCGAAAATTTGCAAAAAAAACAACAACGTAAAAACGATGGGTATCATTGGGATTTGAATCGCTATCCTTTGTGAATGAAAGCCTCTCACCTGCTCTATCAGCGTTTCTTCCACTGGCGTGCATTATTACTCGCATTTGATCTGATGATACTGTCTTTTTCAAACCGGGAATAGGCAAAACATTCCAAGTGGAGCAGCGCTTCCGCATCATCACTGGTTGAGCGAAATACCCTAATTTCCGGGGTATAAGGCGCAGTAGCTTTCGCCGCGCGCGGACTGATGTATGATGACGCTAGCGATGCGCGGCGCCGCAGCAACCTTCTTC